GAAGGACATTTTGGTCTTCACAATTGCTTATTTTCTTATTTATTTATTCACAAAAAAGGCATGCACTAGGATTTGAACCTTGGTCTCTTTAAAGGCAAGCAAGGATCATAACCAATCACACTAAGTATATTTGTTGTATCTATTTAAATTCAAACATACACGAACCTAAATTATGAAAATCATATGACTTTTTTAACGATTAGTTGGCCACTGAATCTCCCGTAAGTACTTATTTGGTGTTTTAATACTTTGATTATTTTAGTTGTTGTTTAATACTTAATATAATTTCTATCTATTTTATAAATATACAATAACCCTAAAATTGCAGCCCAAATATCACTGGTTCGAATATTGCATATCGAATTGCAATATTAAACATGTAGAAGCAATATCGACTTCTTAAATTAATATTATTTTTCAGCATTACTATGGAGAAATTATATCTTTGTGCAAACTATATGAGACTGGTTCTTTTAATGTTTTAGTCGGGATAACCGCTACATTTTAAACTTCTTCATAATCTGGCATGATTGGATCCAATGATCATTATACAAGATTGTGTTTAATAGGGTGGCTCATTTCACCACTTTTTGGCGTGTTAATGAATTTGTAGGACAATGACAGGTCTACATCTACACTCATCACAATCTACACATCATATAAATGTGAAATGTGAAATGAGAAAAGAGGAATTCCATTTCAAATTTGATGCGTACAGAGCAATTTTTTAGGGGTAAATTTAGAAGATGTCAGTGCGGTCGGTCTGTTGAGCACGAAAGTAAAAATATGTTTTCATTTAAACAGGCCCAAACTGTTATTTGGCCCACTAATCGTGCACCCATCGCCAATGCAGTCAAATTCGGGATTTTGATCGTAAAATCGTAGGATTTTAGGATTTTACTTAGGGATTCCGATCTTGATTTTACTATAAAATCGGTGGACCTTAAAATCGTTTAAAATCGGGACTAAAATCGTTAAAATCGTAAAATAGTACCGAAATCGGGATTTTGATCGTAAGAGAACAAAATAGGTGGTTTGAGCCAATTTAAAATAAGTATAACTGTTTCAGCGGAAAGGGCAATGGAATCTTCTCAGATATTTTTCTATTAGAAAAAAATTCAAAAATAATAAAAATAACCAAATTAGGGTTCGGTTAATCTCTTTCCCTTCACCCCATTTAACTTATTGGTAAAACACATGTCCTAATATTGGAAGTATGTAAGAACTAACATCATTATTAACTAATTAATTTATTAATGAATATATTTGTACCAAGCCACTAACATTACTTATTTTATTGGAGTTCAATTATTTTTAGTTTTAAATCATACTTAGTAGACGATGTCGAAATATTACTTTGACTCTTTGAGTTAAACAACCAAGACATAACATGAAAATAAGAGCCAAACCCATGAACTATATCCCTTCATCATGAATTATTTTGAGTTACACATTAAATAACAATTAAAATAGTGATTTTGGAACATTAATCTTGAGAATTATCTTATGGAAAAAAATCTTCTGAATTATCATTTTAAATGCTATGTGTCTTTGTGATATTAATAATTTACCTTATTAATATTCTTATATGCTATGTTCTATATGGTACTTAAAATCCTACGATTTTACAATTCGATTATATGATTTTGATTTTACCCCAGTTTTCAATTTTAGGTAAAATCTCGATTTTAACTGCTTTGCCCATCGCAGCCTCTCCAAATCTTCCTATTCTACTCGCCGGGTCATCTCCTCCACTACAAAATATCTCCTCATGTACTCAAAGTTCTCACTGAAACCTAATATCTACAACTTAGGCGCAGAGGGAGCAACCGATGGATTGTAGCGACCCCCACTATTTTGATAGCTAATCAAGAAGAGCGCGTTTGTTTAGTTGTATGGTGATTCATTTAATTAACAATTTTTATTCCGTTGACAGCCTCCTCTCCGCAATTGTATTGTGTTCACGAAGATCTGAAGGCGCAAGTGCAACATGTCCAGGGGTAAACAATATGTATAAAGCGTTGGCCAAATTGAACTGAGTCATTCTACTTGGAATATGAAGATTTTTGCTTAATTGCTTTGGTTCGTGATGCAACTATGTTATGTTTGAAGGTAGACCAACGCAAACAACAGCACAGCTCCAGGGCTATTCTGCACATTAGGTAGTTGGGGCATTAATTGATAATTATTTGGGATTATTCCTACAAGTACATAATTTGGAACGTGCCTTTATATTGCATTGATTAATAGTTGTTTGAGATTTTTCAAATGAGTGATTTGACATGTTAAACTCTCTTATTTTTGAAAATGGAGTCTTCGAAGTGGAATATGAAGATTTTGGATTAAGCTTGGTTTCGTAACGCCCTTATGGGTGTTTATTCTCTAAAATGCAGCTGTCTTTCAAAGTGCCCGTTGCAAATGGCAAGTCAGGATACAACGATGGTACCGGTACACGTTTATATCATTAGTAGGTAGCAGATTGTGTCCATTCTACTATATCATTTAGCTAAATACTTAGTTGTTCTTTTCAACTAAAAATTATGCTTAAATGCTGTGATTGGCCTCAAAATGTATGTCTTTGCATTAACTGTTAATGATTGTGAGTTTTGGTTTAATGGTGAAAAGTCCATTTATTTAGAAGTCTAAAATGGGCAAACCTATTGGACAATAGGAATGCCATACATTAGTGTCGTGGGAGGTTTGTTTGATGTCTCAGGGTGTTAGATTTTTAAGAAGGTTGTTTGTTGTGGCAGAGAATCCCTAAAGCTAGCGAGGTATTCCTATGTGGGCTTTTTCTTTGTTTGACTTTTTCTCGCCTTTTTTCTTATCTCTTTTTCTATTTTTGGTTTTTGTGTGCTACCTTCCGTTGCTACGTCTTCATTTGTGAGCCATCTATACTTTTCTAATTGAGTGCCTAAAAGTCATATATACTCGATTGCATAGTAGTTACTAATAGATACATTTATACCAATAGAGAGATTTTAAGTTTTATCAGTTGTTAGTTTTAATATTTACTTACATTGGTTGTTTATGTAGTTTTCTTTGTAATATTTCTCATTATACAACTAATTACTATGGCTACGTAGTTGTATAAGTGGGGGTTGGACATGATAGTTCTTAGAAGCATCAATACTTGAAGGTTATTATAATGACCAAATTCTAAAGTTATGGTTTGCCTTCAACTTGCTTGGAGCATTTCAATTATGCATCAATTGTTCTCTCCGTGTAGTTAACTCTCAGACAAATCGAAAATCTTGCTGATATGTGCTTGATTGTAGTTAAATTTAGGGTTCTACTGCATTGTTGCTTTACTCTTTTTTCGTGGTTGAGTCTGCTTCAAAAAATTTAGTTTGATTTTAGAAAATTTTGCTTCTGCAGTCCTGTCTTGCCACCAACGCGTTCAATAGATGGAGACGGGAGAGGCGAAGGCTATTTTTGTGTTGTTGTTGCTGGTTTAGGGATCGATTTGTGAAGAAGAGGGAGAAGAGAGGGGGAAAGGGAAATGCAGGAGAGGGGGGTAACTCTTTTCTCCGACAAAAATGGAGTGAAGAAAGAAATTATGATCAGTAAGAATATGGTTATCTTACATAACGGTCTCTATTCTGTTTGAATTGAGCTTGAGAGGCAGTGATAAGGACGAGCTGCAACCAATTCATAGTGAGAAGAGAGCTATGAACTGTGATCATGTCTTATTTCAAGTTAGAAGGTAGTTTCAGTATAAGGATTATTTAATTTGACAAGTTGTTTCGTCCATGATTCTTGGTAGTTTCAGTGCCATTCTAGCCAATGTTTAGTCTGTAATTTTTGAGAATTGATGTGCGAGTAATGACTTTCACTTAGCTTCAACTATTATGTGTGTATTTATTGGCATGTGATAGAATTCTCTTTTCCTTTTCATTGAATTCATTTTCATACTCTAATTGTATTATTTGTACATAGGCAAATCATGCTCGAGATGGCAACTCGCTGATATGGCTGGTGCAAGGAATGAAGCCATCATTAGAATTCAGACCGACATCGGGGAGGGATGCCCAGGACTAATTCAATGATGATTGATGATGGTATAATAAAAATTGCAGTCTGCATCAGCACCAATTTCTAGGCCTAAGTAAAGGTATTCAACCCAGAACTCTGCTTAGCGCTAAAAATTGCCCTCACCCAACCTTGATCCTGTTTGACCCACTTCTGAAGAGTCAAGATATATGACTAATCCTCCCCGTTCGTATTTTCTTATTGACTCTTTCTGACCCTGTAGGTTGGGGCGGGTCGGGAAGAATTGGATTAGTGGGTCGATCCTAATCAAGTGGAATCCCAATCCCTTCACTCTCACTTGCTTTCTCTCCCATTACACAAGTGGGTAACATACAGTAATCCGGCCAACGGGCCGGGTAATAAGCTAGTATGTTGTAAATCAATGACAATAATGTTTTAATCATTAATAATGATGTGGTACACCATTAATAATTTCATTGTAAACGTTGGCGATGAAAATATAAATCGGTCACAATTGATCCAAATTGTTAACAAAGTAATCGTAAAACATTGTTAAGCTTATTGAAAATTTTTAATAATAAAAGTTATATTATTAATTATTTATTTCATAAAATTTAATAATACTAGTGAAAATATTAATAATGCTAGTGAAAAAATTAATAATGCTATTGCAAGTCGCTACAGAGAGGGAGAGTAGATATTATTTATCTAGAATTATATTTTTAAATATTAAATATTAATTTCGGATTTCTATTTTTGACTTTTAATTTTTGTATTAATTAGCTGCCGAATTAAAGAGGGAAGTTGAATTTCTATTTTTGATTTTTGTATTAATTAGGTGCCGAATTTAATGTCAATATTTCTTTTATTCCTTCCGTACCCTTTTGGTAGTTAATCAATTATTGCTAGTGTTTACTTCTCTCCGATACTCGTTAAGAAATGAGTTTAAGGACCGAATCCAACCCGCCCCTCCTAAAAATCAAAATTGTAAATCCTTTTGGGTCGGACAGCTGAAGAGTCTCACCCACGTTGCTTCTCTTCTCCTCCCCGGCCGCGCAACCATCTAGCTCGCCGCTTCTTCACTTCCCACACTGTTTCATTCTTCTCTTCTTTCTGTTCTTTCTCCAGGTGAGTTTTCAACTTCATTTCTCTTCTCTGCGTACTAGGGCTGCCTAAAATTTTCCATGGCTGCTTAACCTGAAGGCCCTTGCTGTTGCTGGGGAAATGGCCGTGGAAGATCAGAAGACCAATGCTGACAAATTCACATGGAGGATCGAGAATTTCTCGAAGCTCAAAGCAACTAAGCTCTGCTCTGAAACGTTCCTAGCTGGGGGTCGCAAATGGTGAGACTTAAGAGTACTTCGACATCAGTATAATAACAAACAGACTCGTTTACTTGGTGCGTGACAGAAACCCTAACCTTTGTGCAGGTCGATTAGCATTTACCCTAAAGGAAATGGCACCATTTATCTCCCTGTATATTTGCACTCAATTGAACTTGAAACAATGCCGGATGGGAAGAATGTGGATGCCGACTTCACCCTGACTTTAGTAAACCAAATCAATGCTGCCTCGTCGCTCCGAAAGTGTAACCATGATCTCCTGTGCCGTCTTCTTTTCTAGTTTAGTTGATATGTTAGACAGATCATTGTTAATGGCTGAACTTTGTTTGGAGGGTGAGAAGACTCAAAATTCTATGATGCTCTTTTGCTAAATCTCCCCTTGCAGGTGGCAAGAAGAAACCTTTCCCACTAGGTGGCAGAGGCTGGGGATTCCCATCTTTCGTTATGCTCAGCAAACTTCTCAATCCTGATGAAGGATTCATTGTGAATGATACTGTGACGATTGAAGTTCGAGTTTCTATGGTATCTAAGTCACTCTTGCACAATTTTGATTGATCATCGAACAAGAACCCCCACCTACATTTGCACTCAGGCAGTTGTTGTATTGTTGTGTTCATGCTTGCTACAGGAACAATTCACTGATCAGTCTGATAGTGCCAGCAGAGAAGCAATGAACCCGGAACAGAGAAGCGCGGCTGATGACCAATCAGCAGCTGTTGTTTTGAATTCAGCAACTGAAGGGCCTGCTACTCCATTGTCGAATCAGGTAACGATACTCAACATTTGACACCAAAGACACATTTCACATGTACATGTAAAGTGCAGGCGAGCAGTTTTCAATTGTTGATTTTCTTTCCTCAATGGCTGCAGGTTGCTAGTCCTGCTAGCCTTGCTGAAACTACCGAGAGCTCGCACTCATCACGAAGTGTGCGACTAACTTCAAGAAGCCTTGGAGCAGAAATTTCACGACTGAATAGCAACATGAAGTCCTCTGGCACAGATAGTACTTCTAGCTTACTGCAGCAGCAAAGGGAAGCAATGGTTGAATTCTTGAGCATGTCACTGGAGGCCATCTACCATGCGGATTCATTCGGAGACGTTGAAGAAGTTGCCCTGCAGTTGGCTGATCACCCAACTGCTGCAGTTGACAAGACGCATCTGAAGGGGTTATTGACAGAGCTCAAAAAGGGTGTCTCTGGATCTATGTCCGTTATTGAAACCTCCCATGCCGTCGAAGCTTCTTTGCTGCAGATGAGCGAGGGAATGGAGGCGAGGCTTGTTCACAGGCAGAAGCAGCTGAGCTGCTTGGAGGGCGAAGTTATGAGACTTGGGCAGGAGGAAAAGAAGCTGGAGGCTGAAATGTGGGAGATCATTGCTCGCAAGGCCAGAGTTAGTGATCAAAAGAAGTTGACAGCTGATGAACTGGAGAGCACGAGCCAGGAAGCCTCAAGGGAATTGGAAGAAGTGAAGGAGCAAAGCAACAAGCGGAAGCGGGCTTCTGAGAACAGGTTGATTGCCCAGGAGAATCTTGCTCAGTTGAACGCGAGTTGGAAGCTTTTGAAGGACACATTGGGGTTGTAAATGAGGGAGAGACATGGTCGGTTGGGAAATTTTTTACAGGATAGCGGGATAGGTATGCAGAAGTTGGTAAGATTATCAGTTTAAGGTGGTCGTGAATTTTGGAAATGCTTGATGGTAAACCGATTAACTTATAGTTTGCTAATGAAAATATCAAAAATTTATTTACCGAGTTTAAAGCTTGCAGTTTGTCATATGGCCTCTATGATATATCTGATCAGGGCAGACTACATGAAATTCGAACCTAAAACATCTCAAGAACCTCTCCCGTACTCCAAACCAACGAGACATGGATATCAAAAACTTTCAAATGCTAATTGGAATACTAATTGGATAAGATGATTTTCAAGTAAGAATTTGTCATAAATAGATATCTAGCATGACTTCGCTATTTGAAAGATATTATTGAGTTGGTAGGAGACGACGAGCGAGAGAGATGATGACAACATCGACGTGACAATGAAGGAGGAGCAGAAGAGCTGGAGGGTGACGTGGGCCAATATATAACAATGACGAGTGTGACGATCGTGGTGTACGCGAGTATGTTTCCATTTAGAAACTAGTTAGGGCGCGATTGATACAGGTGATGTGAGTTTTTATTGAGACAGAAAGATGGATTGACGAAATTACATTTTTCCATGTAATTGTGTTTAAGATATTACTTCCCTCAATTGGCCGAGTAGTTTTTGATCCGATTGTTAGTTTTGAAAAGTTCAGGTACTAACGCGCTTGTACCAACTCCAAGTCAAAGGTTAAATTTGGTTATTTGAAAATTTAGGAGTTTTGTGCTCCAACATCCAACCCACAAAAAAACTTTCCAATTTGCAATTTTGGAAGGGGGAAGGATGCAAATTTGGGAGGGGAAAGAGTGTTATGGCCAAAGATGTCCGGAAAGGGAAGACCACTTCATCCGAAAATTTTTGACACCATCACTAATCAAATGGGAACCGTAGATCTAGGGGGAAACATTGTGTAGTTGAAATTGACGCGGGAGTGAAGGGGCATTTTTGTCAGATTTTTGAAATTTTATTTCTTTCCTTTTTTATTTTTTCTAGCATTTATATGCTGGTTTTTAAATGAGGAAAGAGAAAACCAAATTTCTCTTTTCCTTCTCTCTTCCAAACACGTTTCTCTAGACCTAAATTTGTTCCCTTCTTTTGTTCTTCATTTTTTTTTCTCCAATCGACAAAGAAAAAATTGCAACCTCCCCTCTCAAATTCGGTGACGCTCCAAATCCTTCTTCTCTCGATCTGCTCCTTCCTTCTGTTCTTTCTTTTCTAGGCCTCAAAATAGATGACGCTTCATATTGACCAAGATGAGACAGATCTAGGTGAGTCGAGTTTGCATGTTTTATGTTTCAGTATTTGTTTGTGAGTTTTCAATTCCGATCTTCCTCCTTTTTTTTTTTTTTTTTTTTTTGCATTTGGTGTTCTTGTTTGTGGAAGACGAAATGAGAGGAGATAGAAGACGAGTTTTTTTCTCTCCCTCATTCTGTTTTTCTCTCCTTCTTTTAGGTAATATATATTGATATTACCACACTATACCATATGGTAATGTGTGCTAACTAAATCGACAACAGTTTTTCCCCCCGTTGAATCAGGTCCACCATTATGGTCTCCCCTGTAAAAGTCAAAAAACAAAACAACCCACCCTACCTCAACTGCACTCCTCTTTACAAATAACAACAATCATCTATGATAGTATTCAAGTAACCCCATACACTCAATATCAGTGGCTAATGAGAGATCACCACTTAATCGACAACTCATATCAAATTTAAAACCTTTCCACACTTCCTCAGCACTTCGATGGGTTTCTCCATGGATTTTTCGACAACGTTCTTTCCATATTGCCGCAGAAATCCCACACCAAATCACATACATAACTCTTCTTGCTCGTGTTTTTTCCTTCGCCTTCATGCTTGCTGATTTTAGCACTCTGTCCCAAGGCCCGTAAACCCAAAAGCATTTAAGGCCCACATAAGAACGGACAAGGCCAAAAAAGGAGAGCACGAGCAGAGGCGGTCCTGCGCATCGTATAATGGCGAGACCGCCCGACAATGCGAGAAAGCAGAGACAAAGAACCGCCCGACACTCTGGCTTCAATGTACGGAGTCTGACGAGGGACGTTAGAAAAGCCAGAGGCGTCCTTGAACGCCCACAAGATATTAAATGCACATAACTCAGTCGAAACTAGTATAAATACCCGTCATAGGGTCACATTTATGGTAACGTCAACTACTCCATTCTCTCTCTTATTTACAATTCTCTCAATCCTCTCTCTAACTTAGGCATCAGAGGAGGTCCCAGGATTTCCCTGAGGACCTTTCTTGTAGGTTTCGAAGACCGCTCATGACCATTGGAAGCCGCCAGAGGCCGTGAAGCTCCGCCTAACCGCTTGGTATATTCCAAGCACAAACAATTATTAAGGAACAATATCGCAAAACACGATACTAACTGATACAACGAAAGAGGAGAGACCATTATGGTCTCCCCTGTAAAAGTCAAAAAACAAAACAACCCACCCTACCTCAACTGCACTCCTCTTTACAAATAACAACAATCATCTATGATAGTATTCAAGTAACCCCATACACTCAAAATCAGTGGCTAATGAGAGATCACCACTTAATCGACAACTCATATCAAATTTAAAACCTTTCCACACTTCCTCAACACTTCGATGGGTTTCTCCATGGATTTTTCGACAGCGTTCTTTCCATATTGCCGCAGAAATCCCACACCAAATCACAGACATAACTCTTCCTGTTGGTGTTTTTTCCTTCGCCTTCATGCTTGTTGATTTTAGCACTCTGTCCCAAGGACCAGCAAAGAAGAGTTAGAAGACAATGAAGTGGGAGAAGAAAGTAAGAGAGTCGTAATTGTATATATATATATTGAGATTACCACACTATACCATATGGTGAAGTATGGTAACGAAATGTATTTTTATAGATATAATATTTTCCTATGGTCGTAGAGGGTTGTAATTAGATTTATATTATTTTCGTATGGTTTTACCTTCTCATACCATGTGGTATTGTATGGTAATTACAATTAAGTCAGCGTCAGAGCATCAGCATTAAAACTTAAAAGGGGTGCAATTTACCTCAGTGCCCCCTCCGTGTTTAATTTAAATAAAAGAAAAAGGCTGACACATGGGTACAGATGATTGGATTACTGATAGGAGAGTTACTGACCTGATCCGGTCCCAAGTATAACTGTAAAACGAATTATATCTTCCAAGAAAATTTATCAAAGAATCCATAGTTTAGATCATCAAACCCTAGAATCATAATTAGTTTCATGTTGCATCACAAAAGACCTAACAAAAGTGATTGGAGACGACAGCGTAGCTTCACCCGTCCTAACAAAAGTGACGATCTATTACCAATTAGTACTAACTTCTTTGTCAAAAAAAAAAAAATTACAAAGTAGTAATTAATTACGAACGTAATACCATGGATGGATTACCATCCCAACTTCCCCTTGAAGAGCTTCCAGCTTGCATTGCACTGAGCCAGCTTCTCCTCGGCTCTCCTCCGCCTCTCCCCAGCTTCCTCCCTTTCTCCACGTCGCTTCTCCAGCTCATCCATCGCCTTGGCAGCTTCTCGACCGGCTTTCTTCATTTCCGCCACTTTCGAGCTCCTCAGAGCTATAATTCTCGCCCTTCGACCGCTGTGTAATTCATCCACCTCTTCTTGCTCCAGCCTGGAGACGCCATCCTCCAGACGACTCAGCTGCCCCGTCCAGAAGTCCAGCCTCGCCTCCACGTCTCTCGCCACGTCACCCGCCTGGGACGCCACGACGTGGCTGGCTTCGATGGTGGACATGTATCTCGGGACCACGTCTTTGAACTCTGCCACGCGGGACGCCACGTCGTCGAGGACGATCCGCCTCTCTCTCGCGCCCGTTGCTGCGTGGGCAGCAACGTTCAGGGCGATTTTGTGTACGTCATCGAATGACTGGGATTGGGCGATGGCCTCGAGTGGCGTGGTCAAGAATTTGACCAGTTGTTCCCTTAGACGCTGGAGAGAATCGTCGTCTTGTGGAAGCTGGATTTCATTGTTATCTGTAGAAGTCAAGTTCACAGGCGACGGAGACAAAGGAGGAGGACTGGTAGCGTCATCATCAGCAGAGTTATGATCAGCCTGTAGTTATAAAAAAAAGAGAGAAAGAAATTGTCGTGATGAGTGGCTGAGAGCAGGGGCGGAAGCACGGAGGTTTAGGGAAACAATTATTCAATCCACGGTAGTAATTTATGTATAGATAAAAAATTTATAATTGGTAGTGAGGGACATTCCTGAAATTTGAAAAAAATGATTATTCTAATGTCTTTTTTTAATTTGTGTATGGGAATATAAGTGATAGGTTGGGTAATTCAAACCTAGAGTACTATTATTATTATCAAACTTAATTTCCATTGAACTACAACTCATTTGTTGTTTGATTTTGAACACTGTATCATAGTAAAATGCCATTCCCTTTTTCTAATTATTTTCAAAACATAGCAATTCAACTAATTTCAACCTACCCTTAATTTGTATTGATTTTATGGTTGTAACTTATACGATAGTCGACAAGTGTTGAAAGATTCTTTCAGCTTTGGGTTACATCAAGAACAAGTTTACAAATTGAAAATGCGATAAGTTCGTGAATGATTGTCTAAAAGAGTATATAAAGACAATTTTTTTAGCACAGACACCAAGTGTATTCTATAATTATTTCAAAATATGAAAACACATAGTGGATTTTTTAACCTGTACGAGTAAGGTACTTTCTAATTTACAATTTTATTTTTATTAATTATTTTATTTTTACTAAATTTATTTTTTAAAAGAGGACACCCCTATGAAAAATTCCTGGGTCCAACCACTGCCTGAGGTAGGAGGAAAATTGTTCAACGAACGTATTGAAATTGGTTACCTGTTCCTCTGGTGAAGGGCTGGTAGTCTTTGGTCTTCTGATCATGTGGTCATCTTCTTCGTCAGGTTCATCAGCCTCCATCGCATTTGACTTGTCACTACTGGCCATCGCTGCTGCTGCCCTACGATTCTGCCAGCAGGAGAGAGATTTATATATATAAATAAAATGGTGAAAGATTCGGGAGGAAAGTTGATGTTTCTCTTAATTTATAGTATCAATAACATTTAGGAGGAGAAATAGGGCCGGAAGAAATTGCATAAATTCAGAATATACCACAATTATAAATTGGGCCCGGCTTTATAAATAAGAAGGACAAGGCAAATCCACTGGATTTATTGATACTAAACTAGGTAGATTTACAGGATGATCGAAAAAGCACATTTGAGTACTGGATTCGAAACTCATTTTTTGGAATTCAAAATGACTTTATTTTCAACGAAAGCAGAATATACGATACATACGCATGAGAAAAGGTATGGCTAAATAGGTACAGAAGCCAAATTAATGTGGCTATGTTTATTTGGAGAGCATTTTAAATTAGAGTAATTAAACATCGAATATTTCCTTTTGTATTGATCCCAATGTAGTTAAAAACGAGTATTACGTAGAAACGTTTTGGTGATCTAGAAGAGTAAAATCGTAAATATTTAAGTTTTAAAGCGAGTTTTCAACTACATAAGTTATAAAAACGGAGATTTTGCGTAGAAGCATTTTAGTGACCTAGAAACGTAAAATCGTAAGTTTTTAAGTTTTAAAGCACGATTTTGACTACATTGATTGATCCTAAATCATATCACGGTAATACCCAACATAGCTAAAACTAGTAGCAAAATGATCAATATAATAATATAAAAAATGCTAAAATCTGTCTAACCTGTTCATCTGGTGAAGGGCTGGCGGAGGTCTTGGGCCTTTCGGCCATATCAGTATCTGTATCTTCTTCAACAGGTTCATTAGCCTCCATCCCATCTGACTTGCCAATACCGGCCTTGGCTGTTGCTGCCCGACGTTTCTGCAAGGGCGAAATGAGATTAGTAGAAATAAATGGCGAAAGATTCAGAGAATCCATAGTTGACAGTTTGATTAATTTATTTATAGATTGCATCAATTAGATCTAGGTGGCTTAATTAACCACCTGCATAATAGGAATGGAAACTTGTGCTTCGATAACGAGGGTATCATCGAGGAGAAAGCCTTGACGAGGATCGTGAAGATCACTCAGCCGAAGAAAGCGCTTCCATCCGCATTCGTCCTCGCCTTCTAAGAACTTCATTTTCGAACCTACAACGAGATCGCGAAAGTTTTTTTTTTTTTTTTTGGGGGGTTGACGTAACTGGTTGGTTCCGAGATTTAAATGGCACGAAGAAGAAAAAACCACAAACATACCTTTTTTCACAGACGAGTCCGGATCGGTTTGGTTGACGACGGCGAGAGTGAAGTCAACCGTCACGCTCCATCCACGACGGCGCATGGTTTCGGGGTCAACCAGAACATGGCGGATGGTTTCTCCATCGATCAACCCTAAATACACCGAAAGGTAACCATCCTCCTCCTCTCCTTTTGGGTAAACCAGAATCCTCCTGCCCAAAACCATCAACCAGAATATACAAAGAATACTCAAAAAACCATCTAGATATATGTCTATCCATTCTTTGGAATAGAGAGGAAAAGAAAGAACAAACAAACAAACACTTACCATCTGAGATTGCCCGCGGTCCAGAAAGTTCTAGAGGCAGATAGTTCCCGGGTAGAGAAATGGTCCACTTTGCATACGAATCTTTGGATCTCCTTCCCCATCGCCGGCCGGTATTTATGGCCGGTGTGCTCTCGGTCTCGGGTATTGAAGCCCAGCGAGCAGTTCTTTATAAAATTGGAGGAGAATCTAGCTAGCTAGCTGCCGGCGTGGATAGAAGAATTAAGTTGCTGGCTTGCTGTTACAAGAAACGTCAGGAGGGAAGAGAGAGTTTTTGGATTGAGTTTCCCAAGAAGTTGCTCGACGTGGAAGAATTAGTACTGCAAGTAATTCTCCTTTTTCTCGTGAATATAAATTTACGGGTCTAAGATAGTACTGCAAGTAATTCTCTCTTTCTCGTGAATATAAATTTACAGGTCTAAGATAGGATCAAAATCCAAGGTGTATCATCTTTAGATCCTTGGATTTGAAACGTTCGTCAAATCTAAGAGATGGAAATAAGATAATTTTTTAGGAGTGGTTTGGATGAAGTATTTGTATGAGTTATTTGAAATAACTCATATTCATGTGTTATTTCGAAATAACTCGTTTTTATCACTCTGTTTTTATCAAATATCACATGTCAAATACTACATTTGCATGGTTCAACAAAGCGAGATACTTTATTTTAATTACCACTGAAATAACACTGAAATACCATATGAACAATAAATGGGTTATTTGACTCTACAAATACCACATTGATTTTAACTCATCTAAACGACCCTTCAACACTTGCAACCAATTTAGTTTTATTAATCAATTCTATATCTTTCTAATTTGGATTTTAAATTTTTTTGCACAAATATATTTTGAGATTAATTTTCAATATATTTATGAATTTTTTTTATATCACTCATACCACTTGCCACCACCCGTTACCACTTTGGTATCACTTTTATTTTTAAATTGAATTTTGATTAATTTTGCTTAGAAGAAACGAGCTCATTGTGATCTAATGGATCTTCAATTTATGGGGAAAATAATTTTATGACCAAATATACCACCCTACTATAAGATGGTAGCTGGTAGTAGAAGATGATGAATCGTGGTAAATGATAGTCAGTATATCCATACTATCGTTGTATGCAACCGTTCGACACTTCACGGTATACTTCCACATAACGCGGTATAATATTGTGTATATACTATATACCAAGTGGTACCACTTGCTATATACTAGCTAGTAATAAATGTCTCATATATTTTGTTCCAAAATATATCAAAGTGCATGTCGTTTTGAAAAAGCACAATCGATCTGAGTTTTATGTGCATTTTTTTTATTTCGACTTAAAATGAAAGAGATATAACTCATTAAGATTTATTGGAGGAAAGTTAGTAGCCATTCATAAAGGGTTAATACTCTAGTTTGGCTGAAAGTTTGGCGTAAGTAACAGTTTGGACCCAATTTTTTGAATAAGACATTTATGTCCTACTTTTCAAATTATTTGACAAATTTTACCCGAAACTTTCTTTGATTGTTAATATTAACAGTCAAACAAATATTCTTTTAGTGACTCAACATCCAAGGCTGATGTGGCAGCGATGTGGCTTCTATGTCATTTTTATTTCAATTCTTATTTTCCAATTTTTTTAAGTTCTTAAAGTTTTTTTTTATAAAAATTGAAATGAAAAATTCAACCTCAACCGCAATAAAAAATCACAATCCTTATTCTTCTTCTGTCGTCGGCGGAGAAGCAGCAAAAGGCAAGCCGACCTGAATCCGCAGTACGTGAATACGATCCGCTTGAACTCCGACGACGACCATCGTCACTCCCAATTCTCTCCCGACCCTTCTTCTACCCCATATCTCGACGCCGATGCAGAGTTGCATCATCCTGGTTGATGCGGGTTTCGGGTAAACCCATTACCCGAGGTCGAACGGGCGGTGGGAGGAATTTCTTCCATGAGTGGCACGGTGCAGGTCGTTTAGAAGAAGAATATAAGGAAGTTAGGGTTCTTTTAGGATTTTATTTATAATTTTTAAAATTAATAAGTGACGTGGATGCCATCTTAGCTCTAAATGTTGAGTTATTGACGGAATAAATGTTTGACTGTTAATATTAACAGCCAACACAAGTTTCGGGCCAAATCTGTCCAATACTTTGAAAAGTAGGTCATAAATGTGTTATTGGAAAAATCGGACCAAAGCTGCCAATCTGTCACTTACGTCAAACTTCTAGCCTAACTAGGCTATTTAACCCTTTCATAAATGGTTAGTAATGGTTATGCATTGGATTCACTCTCAAGTTTACTAACATGAGGAATTTTGCGGTTTAGAATATGCATACTTACATAACTAGCTCTGACATCTTGATTTGAAGTGTGTTAGGATATATGGGGGTGAGAGTAAAACAATTGTTCATTTTTTCTAGTTTTCGTAATTGGCTTTTATTTTCGTGGTTCTAACTTCAATTAAAAAAAATCCACAGATGAAACGAGTTTGTTGTGATTTACAAAAATATATCCATTTTCAATATATTTCGAGAAAAAATTTCATACCACTCGTTATCACCCTATTACCACATTCATTTTTAACTAGAATTTTGAAAAATTTTGCTCAGAAGGAACGAGTTCTTCGTGATCTATTGGATTTATAAATTTTTTGGGATTTTATATGATAATAGGAATTTTGAAAATTTTTAATAGAAGGCAATGGTAAAACAATGATGAAATGTGGTAAATGACAGTTAGTATAAAACCTGTTATCATACACGTATACAATCATTCTACATTCATATCCTCATGACACACTTCCATACCACGTGCTATAATTTTATGTAAAATTCTTGTATTATTAATTTTATTAGTTAATTGCTCCAAGTTGTGAAAAGTACACTTTAAGAAATTTATTGAATTTTCAAATTAGACAAGCAGGGGGGCTTGTGGCATAGGTGAAATAATTTGTGGTATATTATAAGAAATTTGTGGCCTGTGTTTGTAGGATTTGTGATCTGTTTGTGAGTATTTTAATACGTTTTTGTAAATTTTTGTTCAGTTTTGTGATACTTGTGGTGTGTTTTAATAAACTTGTAGTCTGCTTTATGAGACTTGGGCTCGTTTGCTTGTTGGATTTGAAAATGAAGGTTTTGAGTTTTAAAAATCTTTGGATTTATGATGGATTTGTTGCATCATGGATTTGGAAGAGTACATTGTTTGTTTAGTTGATTTTTTATCATGGATTTGTGATGGATTTGTCTCACATTTTTTCCTTCTATTGTCAAATCCCAAATGAAATGTGGGATTTACAAATCCGTGGGGTCCACGGATTTGGATCTAAAAAAGGGGTCCACATCCGTGGACCCCACGGATTTGTGTCCCTCAACAAACAAAGGATTTGTGTCAACTCCATGATGCTTGGGATTTGGGTTCCAAATCCATCACCCAAATCCCACAAGCAAACGACCCCTTATGGTCTGGTTCATGAAATTTGTAATATGTTTTAATAAACTTATGGTGTGTCTTATGAAATTTGTCGTATGCTTTACGAGACTAATGGTCAACTTTAGAAACTTGTGATGTGCCCCACCCCTTTCCTAATTAGTGCACCCCTTCCCCAAATTAAAACCACAAGGCACACGTGAGTTCCCTCTCCCTGAATTTTAATTAAAGACCAGCGTGCCCTTAAGTGGCTTTCCGCTTTATTAATTTTAGTCAACTCATTTAAACTAAAAAGTTATCCAAACTAAATATTTTTATTGGTTGGAATTAGTGTTAGTACTATGTTAACAAAAAAATGTTAGCACTTTACCTTTTTCGTTTTTAATTCCGTTAATTTTAATGTGGTTTCTTAAGTCTTTTAGTTTCAAAAATAAGTTTATATGGTTGAATAATAGTTCCCTCAAATAATCTAAAAATTGTGATTATAATAATATTAATTTTTTGTAAAATTTTATCGCCTTTTGGAAGTAAGATACTCTATAAACTCTATAAATTAATATAGTCGAGACAGTGAAAATTATTAATTTATAGTAGTTATTAATTAATTTATAAATTAATAATTATTAATTAATTGATAAATTAATAATTATTAATTTAAAGAGGTTTTCTTACGATGTACGTTCATAATATCCTTCAAGGTACTCTACCGCAAGAGATTTTACCGAAAGGTATTGAAGGGATTCAAGTTGGAGTTACCGAGTCTGGAGAAAATTAAGGTCTTAATTGCTATGAATCTTGGAGTCGCATCTTGGACGCTGGATGTTCCTCAAGGGACAATAGCAAATTGTTTTTGACATTGCAAAATTCTTTCAAGGGTTGAAGCTGGTTCAAGTGAGATAAAATTTTGAAGAAGATGTTAATAATGTAGATATGATTAGTGGTATGGGTTATCGTAACAAGATGGATGTAAGTCATTTGTTTGAGTATCCATGTGAAAATGATAATTGTATCGCGGGACAAACGTTAGAAAAAATTATGTTTGATATCATTGGGGGTTCAATTGAGGATGAAGCAGATGCCGATTCAACACCTTTGGAATCGGTCACACGAAAAGAAGCACTTAAAATTCACATAGACTCTTAAAAAATACTTGATGTAATTAGAGAAGACAACACCGGAGACTTTGAGTGCAATGAGGAAAGTTAAATGCGAACTTCTATTAGACTTGAACTTCAATAATAAACAAACACCTATATATTCATATTTTTCTAGATTATCCTAGCTATATTATGTTTTGTAGATGAATTTTATTTTTACAATTATTAATTAAAGATTTAAAAATATATGTATATATGTAGGTTGGTTCTAAAAAATTATTATCTTATTATTTTATTAAATTTGCTCATATTGTACACTGGTCCAAGTAGGGACCGAAATTATTAATTTATACTAGGTTATTAATTTATCGATTATCAATTTAAAGAGGTTATACTGTAAAAGAAAATTCGCCCCCTAACGCCGAATCAGGGCTCCGCTCGTGACGCTAGTCAACACTAGCAAAATAATAGTTCAGGACAAAAATGGAATATTAAATAGGTCAGGACACAAATGACATTTTTTTATAGTTCGAATTTTGTAGTGATATTAACCCTAAATTTATAAAAGACTTTATTTTGGATAATAAATTCAAGGGTAATGTCTATTTTTTATCCAAACCTTTTTTTAGATTCTTTTATATTATCCAAACCTGGTAAATGCTATTAATTAGAGAAATCTTTTGCAATGCATGAAAATATCAGCCATTTTTACGTTATCGTTCATAATTTTATAACTCTTTTCTTAGTTAAAATATTAAAATTTTGGAATGTTGACCGTCATGTGTTTCTTTCAATTAAGTATCATGCTGCCAAATCAATATTACTCACAAAATTGCTAACTTAAAGTTGACATTTGGCTAATTGTTAGTTTTTCGATAGGTTTTGCTAATAAAAAATCCAAAAAAATTTAACTAATAAATAATCATTACTCTAAATTTAAAGGAAAAATAGCTAGGATAGAGAAAAGTAATTGGGGCGCCAAACAAGGCCTTACGTGTCAGCAAGCTTTGACTTCAGTAGTAGTAGTAGGAGAGAACTGTAGCTGGAAGCCTGGAACTACACTAGTATCTAGCGCGATTGCACGCTCCGTCCGCAAATAGTTCCATTTCCCTTCATCCCAAGAGGCCTCAGTTGCTTTTGCCCTCGCCGCCATTGCCGACATCCCAGCTTGCTCTCCTACCAAATTCAAGTTCAGCCACTCTCATCCGTCCTAACCTTCCCTGGTAAGTTTCAGAACCGCGTTCCTAGTTATAGTTCCATTTTCGCTTAATCCTGATTTCGGCCCCTATTTGTTTCTTCTCTTGTGGCCAATCTACAGATGATACTGCGGGCATCGATGGCGAGAAATCAGACTGGCGGCGAGGCGATGCTGGATACTAAGGACTTCACATGGCGAATCCCTAATTTCTCGAAGCTGAAAGATGAGATCTATTCCGATGCATTCTTCGCCGGCGGTTCCAGATGGTACTTAATTCTGATTCACCCGCTTGAAAATTCGCCCAGTAAGCTTACTTCACTGCTATTTGGTTGGGCAGGAGAGTGCTCTGCTTTCCAAAGGGAAATGAAGTTGATTTCCTTTCCCTGTATCTGGATTTTGCCGATGGGGAAACGATGCCTGCTGGATGGAGTAAGTACGTAGAGTTCAGCATTACTATTGTCAACCAAATCAGTGGCCGCCTCTCCAGAAAGTTCTGTTAGTTTTCTCCCCTTCACACGCTCGTCTTATTTCAATACCTTAGCTTTCTTAGTACCATTGAGCTGATTTGACCTGAAGATAGTAACTTGGAGACTAGAAGACCATGTTAATTGTTTTATGTGCATTCGCTCCAAATGAAAAAAAATGTTTGCATGTCGAACTAGGTTGATGTATGGTTTTATGAATGCTGGTCTCATTCTTGTCAATTCCGATTTCGTTTTTGGATTAAAGGGATTGGTTGTTTGTGTTTCGGGGGAATCTTGGAAAGTTGTACTGGTTTGATTCATCCAAATTTGAATTTATATTGCAGTTAGAGTAACTGAGTAAGCTTGTTCATCCATTTTCCCATTTCGTTTTGTAGCTGGAGTCGGGCTTTTGTTCATTCTTGAAGTTTACTAGTTTCACCGTGGGGAACTGTCCTTCCTTCTGCAGGTTCCACACATGTTTTCAAGGAACAAGAGGAGGATTGGGGATTCACATCTTTCATTGGTCTCGACGAGCTTCACAGTCTTAGTAAAGGGTTCCTTGTGGATGATGCCCTAGTGATTAAAGCTCGAGTCACCACGGTTAAGTCTCACAACAAGATTCCCTTCTATGACCATAAACCCACCATGTGTTGACTAATGTGTCTCCTCCCCTTTTGCAGGAACAAGAGTTATCGATATCTGCAGGTGATCCAGAAGTTATTGAGCCTGAGTCGGAGACTGAATCTAGAGGTGTCCCATCTACGCCACCATTATCCAGCAACAAGGTAATTTTCAGTAAACTCCCTGAAACGTCTTTCCAATTGAGTATAAGCACCAAACAGTTTCTCACGGCTTTCCCTTCAGGTTGCTCGAACCAACACCATCACAAGTCCATGCTCCTCATCAGTAAAGTTAACTTCAAGGAACCTGATAGCAGAACTTTCAACTATGGCTAGTTGTGGGGAATTGACTACTTCAGTTGATGGAATACCTGGTTCAAATGCAGACGACCGTTGGTCTGGTTTAGTCCAGCAACAAAGACAAATACTGAACAAATTCTTTGGGATGTCACTCGAGGCCATCAGCGAGGCCAATTCCTTTGACCATATACAGCAAGCCGTCCTGAAATTTGCCGAGCACGCTACTGATCCATTCGAGAAGACGGTGCTTAAGGACTTAGTATCACGCCTAGTAGAGTTTAGGGACAGCATCCCACGGTCTCTGACCATTGTTGAAACTTCAAGCGATGTTGAAAAGTCCACTGTGCAGGCAACAAAGGATCTGGAGGGAAGGCTAGTTCAGAGGCAGAAACAATTGAAGTTCCTTGAGTCGGAAGTTTCGAGGATTGAGGAGGAGGAGATGAAGGTGGAGGCAGAAATCCAGCGGTTGCGGGCTCTCAGAGTGAAACTTGTTAATGAGAAGAATTTGACAGTAGGTGAAATGGAGGTGGCCAACAGAGAGGCTTCCAAGGAACTGGGGGAACTGAAGGGGAAACAGTTAGAGCGAAAGCAAGCTAGGGAGAACAAGCTGAGAGCTAAGGAGAGGCTAGCTCGGTCTAATGCTAGCTGGAAGCTTTTCAAGGAGAACCTGGGACTGTAAAGGGAGAACAGACTCTTGTAGGATGAATGGTAGCAGATAAACTAGTTGGATGACATTATGTTCAAAGTCAATCCTCTAGTTGAATGGTAGCAGACCTGCTCCGCCATAGCCAGAGTATTGAAGCAAGCCGAGTGCTCGAAGGCGACATGGCTCCATTTAGTAGCCTTCCACTTAGGAAGAAAATGGGCAGATTTGGAAATTTGATGGCTACTAATGTTTACAAAATGATTTCAACAGTGGATAAGAGGGTGAAGTTTCTATAAGAGAATTTCAAAAGCAGATGGGTTTGGAATTAGGAAGAGTAATGCTCGACCGAATAAAATAAAGCAATAGTGTCCCGCAAGTGGGTGCGTTCAGGTGCAGTGCAGGTTTCATAATGAAAACAACTACAAACAGGACAAGGGTAGTAACGAGGTTTGGTTGTGAAGCTTATATGTTTATCTATTTGAAGAAGAAGGAAAATGAGATTACATGTTTCTCACTTAAAAAATGAGCACAATTATTATTTAGTTCCTAGTTCCTACAACCAAGTTATCACCTTAGAAGGAAAATGGCACTAATTTGAAATCTGACAGTTTGAGGTTTTGTCAAATCACGAATGTTGTGTCCAATGTAGCTGGTGGGTATTGCTAATCTGGGGTATACAAGACAAAATTTATATAACTATGTGAATATGTGCGAAAAGAAAACATCAACAATGATGATGCTACAGCTTTAGTGAGTTACTTGAATGGTTAAAGTTACAATGTCAACTGGTTTTTCATAAAGTTCGAAGTTGGTGATGACCTAAATTGCTAGTTCCGAATTTGATGTTCTGTCTCGTAAGTTCCAAATTCACTTAATAAGTAAAAAAAAATTAGGGACATAAATCAAGTACTTCAATAAATTGAAAGCTAAATATCATCAAGATCTTGTGATTCTACGATAAGCGAAAGAGACTAATTTTTTGAAATTTCGCGCCAAGAGAAAAATTTAATAACATATTCAACAAAAACTATTGCCATCCTTCCCTCGATGGGTAAAGGAATTAGACCCTTCCAGTACCAAAGATTCATCTCCACATGCCTAACACCCAAAATCCAATTTAAACTATGATATAATTAACTTATAGGGCTTAAATGAAAATATGCTTGTTCTTGCAATTAATCTCACCAAAACAGCTGAATAAAACTAGGAGCTGGAAAGGCGATTTTGTAACACGGACAAAAGGAAGTGCATTCCATAAAGACTCTGGGATATTATGTAGAAGAGAAAGATGTCACTGGGAAACTCAAATTCAGTGGAAGGAGAAGGGAAGACGAAAGGAATGTATTTATGGGTCAAGAGAAAGGGGATGCCAAAACGCAATAACAGGGAAATGAGTCTCATATAGTAATCATTATGTTTTTTTCCCTCGACAATGTAAAACAAAACATGAACGAAAGGAAACTACCATTTAATGGAAAAATCTGTTTATCTGAGAATTTTTTAGATTTATGAAAATGAAACCTGAAAACAAAAAACCCTTTTTAGTAACTATTTCTTTGATCTGAAAGTCTAGCAAAAACCATCCTATAGGAGCCTAAGTATGTCGACAATTTTAATAGTATGAAAAAGTTGAACCACGGTTTCAACACAAAATATCCTATCACCGACTTTTTCCAGTACAAACTCCGATACTATTTTGCAATTGAATCAATTTAAATAAACAATAATCTCAAAATAGGTGACACCAAATTTGTCTGGGAGGTTAAACCTACTTTTCGGTGAACATATTACATAAATTTTACAAATAATTAAATATTAAAATTGGATTATCAAAATTTTAATGTTTGCACCCAAAATTTTCCTTTTCTTATTGATCACTCACTTTAATATTTCTTTCATTGTTAGTCAGTGACCATCTAGTTCCTTTAATTTCATCCTATGGTGCAGTCGACAATGAGAGTTGATCGTTAAACTACTGATGTGACAACTAAAAAATTGATAGAAAAAACATTCTTCCCACTCAGTTTCCTCCGATGTCGCGGCTCCTCATCCCTTGCTCTGTCACCCGCTGCCACTCCTGTAACGGGGTCGACTCATCCTTCTCCCCAGGTGATCTTACCCTCCCAAAAGTATATGTTTCCAGATATCTCTCCCCAATCTAAAAACCGCAGTTAGCACGATAGTAACTCATATGAAGTTAGCACTCAAACTTCTCCTAACCCCTTCTTTTGTAACCGATTCTTTTAAAATGCAACATAAGCACCAACTTTGTAACCCCTTATTTATGGATGATGAGGATTTAACAGAGATCTCGCCACATAGGGGTGGGCAATGGGCGGGTTGAGTGGATTTTGGTCTAAAATTGACCCACCCGCTTACTAGCGGGTTGAAATATATGTGACCCGTAATCCACCCACATACTTATGCGGGTTGGGTTGGGTGGGTGGCGGATGAGTGCGGTTGGGTCGCGGGTTAACCCGCCCGCAAAAGCAATTCTCCAACTAGCCATTAAGAAAATTGACTAACATTTACAATAAGTTCATAGCAAATTAGTAAGATTGTATCAATAATTTGTGATTTTGATACAATTAATAATTTATAGTTTGTATCCCAATATTTAATGGATATTAACAATAATTTGCATACCAATATCCATTGCCAATGGATATCGCACAACACAATAACCAATAATAGTAGTCAAAACTATTCTTTATTCTCCACCTTTTGAAGTATATGGTCAGACTATAGTGCAGTTTGAAAATATGATGAATATTCGATATTATATGAAGCAACATTTTCCCATGTAAAAATAAGACGCGGGTCATACGGGTGACCCGCAATCCACCCACATAAGTGCGAATGAGAGATTTAACAATCCGCAATCCACCCACATCAATCACCCATTGCATACGGATCGGATTATTTGCGGGTGGATCGATATCAATCCGCGGATTAACCACCACACATGCCCACCCCTACTTCCACAGGTGTGAACAGTGGGCGTTGTTTTTCAAGCACTAGTGTGAACGAAACTGCAGTGCAGATTGCAGAAGATGTATATGTGAAACCGGCCGGGAAGAAGAAATTGCAGATTCATACCTTGCCCTTGCCTGCCACCATTATTTTGCTGAGTTCTTCAAGTTTCTCAATTATTGCGACCCACACCTGCCCTCCTTAACTACAAGATCCCAAATGATGCTGTTGATTCGTTAGACCCATTTATAATTTTGGCCAACTTCATACGTAATACGCAAAAACTCGTTTCACTAAATTTGGGAATAGGTCCTTCAATTTAACTTCTTACGTATTTTTTTGAACTAACCAACTCTGCAATGTAGCTCGTGTATGAAGAAACCTCTCTGACTTTAAAGAAGAGTAAATCCAGGATGTTCCTTTCAAGTTTGAAAAGAAGAAAGCTATCCCATATATGATATATCGTAATAAAATTCTAATAAGAGAGTGACAGTCGGATATTAGCTAGGATTGAAGTTGCAAATTTTAGGACGAGTTCAAGATAAGAATCAATAATAATAATAATAATAATAATAATAATAATAATAATAATAATAATAATACATGGGAATCAAAACATACATTACATAGAAGGAAGGCCAGCCGACATCAGAGGGATCATGATATGAAGAGGAACACTTTAATAATGTTTGTTCACACACCCTAATCAATAGGAAAAAAACAAAAGAACGGAAAATCCCAGTAATGAATTCACATGATTTGGCAAGCATATGCCATGATTGATTCTGTTTCCATTTCTGCTATAAATAACCCTATTCCCAAGTACCTTTTTCCACCTCAACCCAAAAGCATTCAACAGAAACAAAAGCAGCAAGAAGTTGCAAAAGAAAGACACATGATGAAGCCAAGTTCAGGAGCCCCGATCATCCTCTTCCAGGCTCTGGTAGCCCTGTCCCTGGCTGGGCTCTCTGTTTCCAAGGATTTCGATTTCTTCTACTTTGTTCAGCAGGTAATCCAACTCAAAACATTCTAACTGACAAATACCCTTCTTCATTTGCATTCGTATGAAGTAAATATATAGTAATAATGGCTAATGCTGCATTGGTGGTGACAGTGGCCAGGATCATACTGTGACACAAAACAGAGCTGCTGCTACCCAACCACAGGGAAACCCGCTGCTGATTTTGGGGTTCATGGTCTTTGGCCCAATTACAATGATGGCACTTACCCTTCCAATTGTGACTCCAGTGCCCCATTTGACCAGAGCAAGGTAATCACACCTTTACTTCTAATGGTTTTGCAAGTCACCTTTGGGTTACTCTCTGTCTCTGGCTTTTTTGGCCATAGATTTTGAGAAAAAAGAAATTGGCAACACAACACATAGATACACACAGAAATTGAACTCTTTTTAGTAGGAATGGCAATGGGCAGGTCCGGGGCAGGTATCTCGATACCCATACCCGTCCCATGGCAGGTAGGGTAATTAATTACGAGGCGCGGGTCGAGGCAGGTCGACCCAATGGGTATGTAATTTATGTTAAAAATATTAGAAATATTCGTTATTTTCATTAAAAAAAGACCAAGAAAGAAACCATAATACGATAAAATCTAGTTAAATTATTGAAGACATTGAGGTTTTCACTTAATTGCAACATTATTATAGCTAAAATATAATGTAATAAGAGGAAAATCCTAAGTAATTTGACTAAGATTATATGTAATTTAGACAAGAACGCGAGTCGAGAATGGGGCGGGTCAGGGCAGATCGGGTCGATGAGAGGTACCCATACCCGCCCCGCCCCAAAACAGGTCAAACAGGTCGGGTAAATCGGATCAGGTCAAAATTGCCATCCCTACTTTTTAGTGATTTAGAATGGCCTGAGAAATTGAACTCCTTTTTCCAATTTCACACCAGGTTTCAAATCTAATCACCACAATGCAAAAGGAGTGGCCAACTCTGGCTTGCCCGAGTGGCAATGGAGTGACATTCTGGTCTCACGAGTGGGACAAGCACGGCACATGCTCTGAAGAAGTGCTCGACCAACATAGTTACTTCGCGAGAGCCCTCGGATTCAAGGCACAGACCAACATCCTCCAAGCTCTAAAAACTGCAGGTACACCACCATTTGCACAACCTTTGATCCATCTGAATTGTTTCCTTCTTCGCTGCTGCGATTTGTGTTTCTGACTCGCGAATTGCTTTGTTGTTCTTCTTTGACAGGAATTCGGCCCGACGGGGGATCGTACAGCTTGAGCAGCATCAAGAGCGCGATCCAGAGCGGTGTGGGATACACTCCTTTCGTAGAGTGCAACACTGATGAATCTGGGAACAGTCAATTGTACCAAGTGTACTTGTGTGTTGATAACTCTGGTTCCAACCTTGTTGAGTGCCCTGTTTTCCCACACGGCAAATGTGGCTCACAGATAGAGTTTCCCTCATTCTAGGGAGCTTTTTTTATAAAGTAGTTTTCATTTTCATGAATCACCAATTGTCAAATGTTAAGTTGTTCTCTGGCTGGCTACAATAAGGAGTATTTGAGCATGTAAAAGAGAAGAATTTGTGTACACCTTGTATGTTTGATTATTGTAACGTCCTCTTTAGTTGAAAGGAAAGCATATAAATCCAGGCCATTGGTCTAATTGTTTTCCCGCACCTTGATTGGCCAATAATCTAACTAAAGGAAAAATGTTTGACGTCTCGTCCGCCAGGATTATTTGTAGTACGACTTTATCCAACAATTTAATTATTACTAGGCGGTGATGTGCGCTCTGCCACGTGTTTATTGGCAAATGTCTGTGTGGGGTGGTTGCATGTGGGGATGTAATTCTTTTGAGTATGATTATATCTTTTTAATTTTGTTTGTTTGTTTATTTATGATAAGAAAAAAGTTACGGATGTCCGTCGATTTTCTCCTAATCTTTGTAGATGGAGACTCTTGAAAAAGTACAACAAATATGAATTTCATGAATATATTTTATTTTATGAATTACAAAAAAAGTTGTTTAAGATTTGCACAAAATTAAGTCATCTAGTATGTTTCTCATTTTTAAGAAATTTACCACCTCTCTAGTCAAGGTTGTCAACCTGTAGGTTTACTTGTTTTTATCCTAATCCAGTGAGAAAAATGTGTGCAACAAACTCGCAGGTCGATCCGCATCAAGGCTCGCTAGTTCGGCCTTCTCCTTCTGTACACAAAGAGGTTCAAAAAATTTAAACCCATCATCATCCTCTTACTACTCTCAAAATAGCCATACTCGAATAAGTGCATGTAGGAGATTTAGCAATTCACAATCCACCCACATCAATCACTCACCAATTGCAGTTCGAGTTATTTGCGGGTGGATTGATGACAAACTGTGAATTAACCACCCATGTGCCCTCCCCCAGTGTTTATCGCTAATTGATATTGTATGCATGTGAGGGTAGGTAGTAACTTTGGCAAAGATTTCAGGGACACGAAGAAGAAGAAATGTCCAATTTATTGATTGAGATACAAAACAGGAGTATCCATGGTTTTACAAAAAATCCAAATTTAATTACAACTTTCATTTTTTAAATTCACGAATCAAACGAGCAGTAAATAAGCCCACAATCCCGAAGCAAAGCAAATTCTAATAAGTCCATATTTAAAACAAATCAGCCCAAATTTTGAAGTTCAGTTGGATAAGAGAACGTACAAATACTCGCACATAATAGTTTATTTTATGAACATAGGACCACAAGCTTAAGTCCAATCGTTGTCAAATTAAAGCTTTTTTTTTTTTCAAAAGCTATAATTAAAGCTATAATTACCAAAGTAAAAAAAAAAACTGAAAGGACCACACCCTAATTGCTCACTTGAAGTTTCACGAAGCAAACGACTCGTAAGTAAGCCCACAATCCTGAAACAAGACAAATTCTCGTAAGCTCATAATTAAAACAAATCAGCCCAAACCATCTGACTTTTTCACAACAAAAACTTCTTTTGTATTTTTAGGGTGGTTTTATACCGTGTTAGTTGATTTGAGAATAGTTATTTGTCTCGATCATATCATGCCCATGAGGTGCCAAAATGAGACCTCAGTCTTGATGGATTAAGTAAATACCAATATATATGACAACCTCTTTCATAGTTTCATTGATCTCCCAAATCAATAATCAGTGCGTGGGGCAAGTTTTAGCTGGCCTGCATTGACTACAATTCACAACTAATTAATAGATATATGCATCGATGAGTATTTCTACTATTCTTTAAAATATTGGTAATTTAAAGTAGGGTAAATACAATTTAATATCCAAACCTTTCATTTTAAACAATATAATAGCCAAACCTTTTCGAAAACAATCTAATATCCAAATCGTCAACTTTTCGTTCGTTTGACCGTTAGTTGGCACTTCAAAAAAGTTCGAAGTACGACGTTTCATCAATATCCATTGATATCTTCTCTGAAAAACCACCAACATATCGTGGTTCCAAACCCGAGAAGTCCATGACTCCCCCATGATGGTATAGAATATTTGAATATTCAGTCATCTGCAATGCCAAAACAAGAAAACAAAGTTGTATTGTGACAATTTCCCCGAAACAAGGCTTTTTTGAAGTGTCCACCAACGATCAAACGGACGAAAAGTTGACGATTTGGATATTAGATTGTTTTAGAAAAGATTTGGCTATTATATTTTTTAAAATGAAAGGTTTGGATATTAAATTGTATTTACCCTTTAAAGTACAACTTTAAGTTATACCATAACATTAGTGTTATAAACACGCTGCTACTGATTGGGAAATCGTCGGAACCGTGAAAGCAAGAATACAAAAGCGAGAATCGAAAACGCGACACACGATTTACGTGGTTCACTAACACGATGTGTGTTAGCTAGTCCACGGGCGAGAGAGAGTCAGTTCCACTATATCGAGGAGATTACAGATTACAGAGGAGATGAGAAGTATTTATACTTCTCCATGTGGGTCTAAACCTAATCCAATCTGGCAAAGGAAACGGTTACAGACCAGACCTAGAACCCGAACCCAAATAACATTGAGACCCCCGACTATTCCAGTCGTAGTGGTTGATAGTTCGATTCAAGTCACATCAACAGTTAGAAGTACAGATTGAAGCTGTACCATAAGAAAATTTGAATCTTTATGTAATGATACAACTTAAAATTGTAAACTATATATGATTCATAATTAAACATCTTTTATTGTCATTGATAGGTTACACTTCCATCCCAAATTTTTTTAATCTATGATGAAACTTTCTTGATGGGGCGAGTATGATTGTGATGCAGGGGAGGACAAGCTCATACCCGCCCCATCCCCATCAAAATTATTACGGATTTTATTCATATATGCCCATACACGGTCAATGCGGAGAATAAATTCCCCACATTTACTAGATTGAATGCGATCTGGTACACAATATTGTGGGTTTGATTATTATCCCTTAAAGTAACCTCGCTGACTGTAAAAAGAGTAAATCCAGGAGGTTCATTTCAAGTTTGAAAAGAAGAAATCTTTTCCATATATTGTAATCAAATTCTAATAAGAGAGTGACAGTCGGATACTAGCCAGGATTGAAGTTACAAATTTTAGGACGAGTTCAAGATAAGAATCAACAATAATAATAATAATAATAATAATAATAATAATAATAATAATAATAATACATGGGAATCAAAACATACATAGAAGGCCATACTAGCCAGGATTGAATTCGCATGATTTGGCGACAATGTTGTCAGAACCGAACCGGAGCATGACCTGGTAATGCGAACGGCTCGCACTTTAATGGTTCAACCGGCATTAGACCGTTTAAAAATCGTTAGAGAATCGGTACCTAATAAACGTTATCAGTATAAATAGTGGACATTTCTTAATCAGAGCTCGTCTCTTTCCTTCGAAATTGTGAAATGGAAATAAGGATTCAGTTTGAGAGCCCGGCGTTTTTGGTTTATTTCAATTTTTAATTTTCTGCAATGTTTTTAATTAAATTTAACGGCTGAATGGCAAAAACCGGACCAACGGCTCGATCGACTCAAGCGGTTAACCGCTTCGGCCGCTCGTCAACCGCTACATAAAACTGGAGTGACTTTTAGACTGTTCCGAACAAATTTTATGACCGGGTGGCGGTTTTACCGGTCGGGTCGAGCGGCTCGGCTCGACTTTAATAACACTGTTTGGCAAGCATATGCTATGATTGATTATGATTGATTCTGTTTCCTTTTCTGCTATAAATACCCTATTCTCAAGTACCTTTTCCATGCAACCAACCTCAACCAAAACTATTAAAAAAAAACAAAAATACCAAAAAGTTGCAAGAAAAAGACATGAAACCAAGTTCAGGAGCCCTGATCATCATCCTCTTCCAGGCTTTGGTAGCCCTGTCCCTGGCTGGGCTCTCTGTTTCCAAGGATTTCGATTTCTTCTACTTTGTTCAGCAGGTAATCCAACTCAAAACATTCTAACTGATAATACCCAGTTCAGATTTTTGTTCCTTCTTTTCTTCATTTGCATTCGTTTGAAGTATACAGTAATGGCTAATGCTGCATTGGTGGTGACAGTGGCCAGGATCATACTGTGACACAAAGCAGAGCTGCTGCTACCCAACCACAGGGAAGCCCGCTGCTGATTTTGGGGTTCATGGGCTTTGGCCTAATTACAACTAGCTTGTACCCTGCCCGTTGGGCAGGTGCTATATAATTTTTGTTATTTGATTTATGAATACATGTGTTCATAATTTAATTATCTATTGGTTGTTAATGACATAGTAATTTTTTTTTTGTTTAAAAATAATTTGAAAAGTCACTCAATAATTTACTACAATTTAGTGAGGGATGAAAAAACCCACATCCTTCTAATTACTCAGCTATCTGTATTAACTATTAACCCTACATCTCTAGTGTATTTCCTTGTAGTAATATAATTCTTGCTCTCATAAAAGAAGCCCACCTATAACCTTTGAAATCTATTTTAGAATTGCAATATTTTGTATGCATTTGAAATCTATAGCATTTAAAATGCCAAAAAATAATTATTTGACCAATATCTATTATGGACACATTAAATGTTCTATTATTAATATCCAAATTTCATACGAAAATAATATATTGAACAATAAAAAAAACTTGTTGAAAATTGGATTAATAAAGACTTCTTTCATTATAAAAATTTTAATTAATAATTACCATCTAGATACAACTACCAAAAGAAATATATTTGTGAATATAAAAAAAAATTATGCATATTTTAGATATATGTTATTAGTATATTAAAATTCCTTAAGAAAAGAGTAAACTGCTGTGTTGATGAAGCAAAAAAAGTATGTTAAATGTATTAAGAAAGATCTTTTTATCATAGAAATTTTAGTTAGTAATTATCATCTAACATGACTGAAAATTGATGAAGAAAAGGAAAACAATATCAATAATGAAGAATTAGTATATATCATAGCTAGTAATTATCATCTTTCATCTAGACATCTGATTAACATGATTCTACGGTTATAATCAATATCAATATTACATTTTATCGAAATTTTTGGATAATGCAGATGCAATCGAACTACTCATGATTGTTCATAACACATTAAACTTCTTGTTTGTGAATAGTAAAACAATTATATTAAATTAGTATGAATGCTCCATGGAAAAATGGCTTACTGTTCAAATCACCTCCAAAGAGTTGCGTATCTGTACAAATTCTTTGCCCGCCCAGTAAGAGATCTGCATCTTCCCGCCTTGGATTCCACCGCGTTTGACGTCGGCCGGTAACCTCTTTACTTCATTCTACCACTCGTATTCGCTCCTTCCAATCTCTAACTCTCTCCGTTTACTAACACGTACACTATCTCGCACCAAGCAGGCAGCCGCAACGTCCGTCGTTTTTTCTCCAATTCAATTTTGATCGCTTGCTTCTTATAATCCGCAGTCGATTTCCGTTCTTGATTCGTGCACGGCCACAATCGTTGTAAACAAAGTCCACCGTCGCTCTGTCTTCCTCGGCCCTTGGGAAGTGCGATTTCTATTTACTCATTAATATTTAAGAAAAGGAAAGGGGGAAAATGCAAGAAGAAAAGTCAGGAAAACTGAAAGAGTTGATTAAAACTCAAAAGTGGGAGTTTTATTATTTGAGAAAGGGAGCAGTTAACAATTGGCAAGGACGAAAGTTAGGAAATTGCGGAAAGTAGACCCATATTGGCTTATTAGTGATGATGATGTGGATGTGTATTCGTTGAGCAAGGCTTACGTGGCAACGACCTAATTCCGAAAATGCTTTAAGATTTATTAAGATTAAGATAAGATGATAGCACTTACCCTTCCAATTGTGAACCCAGTACCCCATTTGACCAGAGCAAGGTAAACCCCAACCAAATCTCGTCGTAACCTTATTGGGAGAGGTTCGCGCGCGTGTATGGTACTTAAACCACTTCTTTTACTGTATAAAAAGCGAACTTCTTTTTATTTTTTCTCTTTCCAATTTCGCACCAGATTTCAAATTTAATCACTACAATGCAAAAGGAGTAGGGATGACAATTATGCCCATACCCATGGGTATTTTACTATCCAACTCAATTGGGTTGGGTATGAAATCCAAATATATGGATATGGGTAAAGTTTGATGGGTTTGTACCCATACCCATTTATTTTGGGTTGAGTTGGGTTTATAACAAATGGATTTGGGTTTGTACCCATGCCCAAATACAAATTACAGTTTGGTACCTAAACTTAATAGATATGCATATTTAGTACCTAAAATTAATTTTTTTTGCATATAAGTCCTCAAAACATCGATGAAAAATTACGTTTTGGTACCTAAATTTTTTTGGTCTTACATTTTGGGACCTAAAATTTTCAAGTTTTACAAATAAGTCCAATCTTTGCATGTGTAGTTAAGACACCCTCAAGTAAATGGATACCCATACCCATACTCATTTAGATAATATCCATATCTAACCCAAACCCATATACAAACCCCAAACCCATACACACATCACCCAAACCCTACCCATAATAGATGGGTCTACTTGGGTTTGGGCAAAATTACCCATGGGTGGGTAAATTGCCATCCCTAAAAAGGAGTGGCCAACTCTTGCTTGCCCGAGTGGCGAGGGAGTCACATTCTGGTCTCACGAGTGGGACAAGCACGACACTTGCTCTGAACACGTTCTTGACCAACATAGTTACTTCGCTAGAGCCCTCGGCTTCAAGGCACAGACCAACCTCCTCCAGGCTCTGAAAACTGCAGGTATACTTAAACCCGCGTCTGAATGTGTTTCCTTCATCAATTAGACAAGATATGTGTTTCTGACTCGCGGATTACTCGTTAAATGCTCGCGACAGGAATTCAGCCAGACGGGGGATCGTATAGCTCGAGCAGCATCAAGAGCGCAATCCAGAGTGGTGTGGGATACACTCCTTTCGTAGAGTGCAACACTGAAGAATCTGGGAACAGTCAATTGTACCAAGTGTACTTGTGTGTTGATAAATCAGGGTCCAATCTTATTGAGTGCCCTGTTTTCCCACAGGGCAAATGTGGCTCACAGATAGTGTTTCCCTCATTTTAGAGTGCTTTTGTTTTCAATTTCAGTCTTTTCATTTCTGTCATTTTCATGAATCACACCATTTGTCAAATGTTAAGTTGTTCTCTGGCTGGCTACAATAAGGAGTGTTTTAAGCATGTAAAACTAAAGAAAAGAAATTTTGTACACCTTGTATGTTTGAACATTGTATTAAACGTCCTCTTCATTTAAAAAGGAAAGCATTTAAATCTAAGCCATTGGTCTTATTATTTTCTCGCACCTTGATTGGCCAATAATCTAACTATAGGGAAAATGTTTGACATCTGGCCCGCCAGCATTCGTTTTTCTGAAGTATGACTTTAGCCAACAATTTTACTATTATGTTTCAGACTAGATATCTGTAGGGGAAAAAAGAAACGAAAAAAAGAATACGTAAATTCACCCAAAAAAACACATGACAAAAAAAAAAAAAAGATTAATTACACTTTTGGTCACTCAATTTATAAAAAAAATTTACTTTTGCCCCCCACAAAAATTTTCGTTCTTATTCGTCACTAAATTTAAATCTCGTTGTATCCATGGTCGCTCGTCGTCCAACTCCGTTAAGTTCATTTTAGATGACAATCAACTAGGATGTTTGACTGTTAAGTTGCTGACATATCAATTGAAAATAATGATAATAATTGAAAATAAATTTGGCATTAACAAAATCAAGGAAAACCCAACAGAGAAAGAAACCCATGAACAAAATCTCCCAGAGAAATGGTAATGTCATCTGATCTCCACTCTACTCAAGAGCAACTTCCAGCCCATCTAGGAGTAGAAATAAACAGATCATTTAAAGCCCTACTTAATAAATAATGGCTCATTTTAAACAATTAAATTTTAGAAATGGAAATAAATAAATTAGTGATTGGTGGTTGGGCACGTAAAATAAAAAGACATTTTTTAATTAACATCTATAATTTAATTATAAAAAATTTATAAGTATTTCAAAATGTAAATTTATTTTTAAACAATCAGTATTGAATTAATTAAATTATATTTTAAAAGGTTCAATTGTTCAACAACACGTTTGTAACATAGTTGATAAACAACTCATTCTTTTTGAAGAAAATGTTATGTGTTCACGTTCCAACACCAACATTTTTTATATAACAAGCAAAGAGAGAAGGCTGAACGGATTAAAACAGGCAAAATTACTTGAACAGTTTGTCTAGTTTATCCATAGGACCGGTTGTCGGCTAGCCGACACCCAATAAACGGTCATAAGACTCATCTGGGTCGGACTTGGATCTTATTGGAGGTTCTATCGGTCGAACCTCCCAATCCGATTCGGTCCGACTTAAATAATACTGCTAAAAAAATTACTATTTATTAGTAATTAAGTTATTAGTTATTAGCTTATCATAAAAAGATAAGTAAGGGATCCAACTAAATTATTCATAAATATATACGTGTCTTTAGTGGCGGAGGCAGGATTTGAAACTACCCCTGTGTTCTTTTTAAAATAAAAAAATATAATTAATAATTAATATAAATAAAGAAATAATCGACTAATACAATTGATGTTTGCATAAATAACTATGACGAATTTTCATTAGCAAACTAATCGTCAATTCGACTTCGAAACTTGATATTAGTATAGTTCAAGCTAAAAATGTTATTTCTACGCTTACAGTTGCAACAGGTAGAATCAAAACTATTTTCAGAAGCAAATAAACTGACGGATATGACTTACGTACTTTTGTCTCCATCATTATTTGAGATAATTCATCAATTTCTTTCAATTAATGAAATCTCATAACATCATGATAATACCCAACAAGCTATTGTCAAATAATTATTATGAATGAAAGAAATAAATTAACTATTTTTATCAATTATTAAACAAGTAATGAACTGCGATGTAGTAATAAAATATCCTAAATTATATTACTTGTAGGTGTTGCGTACATATATATAGGGTATTTTTTACCAGCCAAATATTACCCTTGTCCTGGGACAAGGGCAATATAGGTTGGCTCCGCCTATGCGTGTCTTTATCTTCTTTTCACCTTTCTGAAATCATATCTTTCTGATATCTCTTGTAATATCCCGAATTTTTTCCAATAAAGATATTGTCCGCTTTGGTTTAGACTCTCACGGTTTTTGCCTTGAGTGCATATTAAAGTGACTTCCTATGAGGTTACCCATCCTTACCAGTTCTCTACAGTGAGCACGCCTAATTTCGAAATTTTTAAAAGAACTATTTAATTTCACTTCAAAAAGAGTCTTGTCAATTAAGACCAATTTCTTACTTATAAATTTTAGATCTCTCATTTACTTTGTCGATGCTCAAGATATTACATGTTTCATTCCAAAAGAAACACTTTCAAGAAAGAAAAGAAAAGAAGACACTAACGGAGCATTCATTGCAACCAATATATCTATCTATTATACTTATAATACGCCGAAGGGAAAAACGGGAGCCCCATTTCAAATTTCCTACAACGAGAGTGAAAGTAGGAAGGACATTTGCCTTGAGTGCATATCAAAGTGACTTCCTATGAGGTTACCCATCCTTACCAGTTCTCTACAGTGAGCACGCCTAATTTCGAAATTTTTAAAAGAACTATTTAATTTCACTTCAAAAAGAGTGTTGTCAATTAAGATCAATTTCTTACTTATAAATTTTAGATCTTTCATTTACTTTGTCGATGCTCAAGTACTATACTTATAATACGCCGAAGGGAAAAACGGGAGCCCCATTTCAAATTTCCTGCAACGAGAGTGAAAGTAGGAATGACATTTTGGTCTTCACAATTACTTTTTTTTATTCATTAAAAAGACACGTACTGAGATTCGAACCATGACCATTTTAAAGAAACGCAAGGATCATAACCAATCACACTAAGTACATTTGTTGTATATTTTTAAATTAAAAACATACAATAGCAGGGAGGAAAAAACTCTCCCCCCATTTCAAATTTCCTGCTCCATGAGCGTTTGTAGGAAGGATAGAATAGGGAGTGTCAATTTTTCTCTATTTCCTTTGTGGAACGGGCCAACTTACCGTACACATGCGGATTTGAACGGGTCTAGGAGTGTCAATTTTTTTCCTAAATTCCTTTTATTTCTCCGTGGTGATAAAATATATATGAAAAGGCAAAAATAATACTTCTTTTTATTGCTAAAAATAAAATAAAAAAATTTATTCATCAAAAGTAAAAAATAAAAATAAAAAATAAAAAATTTAACAATAAACTAATGCATGGTATCTAATGGGCTAACCGCTAACCATAAAATAAAAAAGTTGGATGGGCCTGACCTACACGGGATTTGACCATCAAGTAAAACAAATGAACATCATTGGTTTGACATTCTAAAACAAGCTATTTTCTCTGGCATAATATATATTATGCTATTATTTTATATCTTAGTGGCTAAAATATAATGTAATTTAAAGTTATTCAATGGTTCAACCTCGACCAACCCAATTAGTCCAATTTCTATCATTTCAAATATATATTATATAATTATTTGATATCATAATAATCAAATTATAGTGTATTTTATAGGAAATCGTTTGATATTTGTTAGTAAAAAAATAAACAGAAATATCTATGTGATTATTTTAAACATTAAAACAATCATAAACATTTTCAGTTCCTTTTGAATTTCTATGATTTTATTCCCGAATAAGTGATATGCAAATGGCGAGTTGCAGTCATCTCTTTTCTTTCACTATTTTTTATTTTCAAATAGAAAATTTAAAAGTAAAGAATAATTAGAATTTGGCATGGGTCGATCAAACATGCTGAATTTCAAGTTTTGGCCCGTTTTGATCAAGTCTAATTTATAATCACATGGTTCGGACCGGACCGGACCGGACCGCATTTTTATAAACCGCACCGAACCGCATTTATGTAAACCACACCGCATCTTTGACTGCGAAGTTATCGGTGCGGTCAAACCAAACCGCATGAATTAACAGTTTGGTATGGTTTAGACCGCACCGCATTTTGACCGCAAATGACAAGAAAAGAAGGAAGCTTGGAAATAAAAAAAATAAAAAATGGCAAGGATTCCCGCTCCGTTTCTGTGTACTGATGCCACCAAAAGTCCAAAATAGAGCTGTGAAGGCAAGACTCTTGTATGCATGAAAACAGAGCATATGCAAAAAAAAAAATCCAATATCATCACGCTCAGCCTAAAACAGCAACAGAGCAAAAGTCCAATATCAAAAACCATGCCATCTTCCTGTTCTCATTTGTTTTAAGGGCCTTAACTAACCCTGCCATCTTCCTCTTGCCGCAAGAGAAGTAGTTTTGAAATAATAGCAAAAAAAGAAGAAGGCAGGGTTCCTCTGTTTCCGGCCATCAAAACAGAGCATATGCTCTGATTTCCCCATGCCTTGCATCTGCTGCTTTCTTCTTGCGGAACTCTGTTTCTTGGCTAGATCCCCTACACATGAACCCATTGAAAAACATTAAACCATAATGCTCACCTAAACTACACAATAGATAGTAAAGGATTCTAATTTCACTACTACATTCTACATCAGATGAATCCTCACATTCAAAGGCTTAATGGTATTACCCAACACCTAAAATTGCCCAATCTTAAATCACAGGTCAGCAAAAACATGGTAAGTTTTGGAATCTACAGCTATAAGCCTTAGGCAGTTCCCATCAGATATAAGTTTTGAAATTGCCCAAGCTTATTTCAGTAGGCCCAAAGTCAAAGTAGACACAGAACTGACAAGGCACTGCCCCCTACTGATGTCAACAAGCTGCTGCTGAAGAGCAACAGCAACTAATGATCAAGTTCAAATGTTACCTTATATGTTTGTGCTTGCCTCTACATTAGGACTCATACGAGGAGTATGGATACGAGGAAGTGGAACATCAGATATACCAATAGCCTTCATAATCATGCTCAACTCTGAAATTCATAAGAAGACAGTTTAATCACTACATAAAACGTACATGGTACATAAACAATAGCTTTTTTTAGGTTACTCACCTTCATCGATATTGTCAATCTCCTCTGAATCTTCTTCAACTAGACACACACTAGATTCTGCCCAGAGCCAATCCTGAGTACAAATAAGAGCCTCAACAATCCTAGGAGTCAGAGAGCTCCTGAAATCATTCAGCACCCTACCTCCAGTGCTAAAAGCTGCTTCAGATGAAACCGTAGAAACCGGGACAGCCAATACATCCCTTGCCATCCGAGATAAAGTTGGAAACCTATGGTTGTTTACTTTCCACCATCCTAACACATTAAACTTGGCATCCGTTGATTTTTCAACACCCTCCTTCAAATACCTATCCAACTCGGTATTGTTCACTACACCTCTTTCCTTTTGCATTTGTTTCATATACTCGGCAACTAAATCCACATTCCCACCATTATCATCTACTTCTGTTTGAGAGGAGGAATCATCACCTACTTCCATTTGATTCTCATAATGAGCATATAACTCATAAGTAGCAAGCTCAACGTCTTTTGTCAAATCAGAAATTGCTTTCTCATCATCATACATCCACTTGAGTGTGAAACCAATAAACTGTAACTTTAGCCTTGCTCGTATTATCAAGAGCAACAAAATTATTAAACTTCTGAATTCTTGCAGGTGAATGCCTAACAAATCTCACCGCCTCTCTGATTCTTTTTACAGCCACAGATATCTCAGATAATCCATCCATCACAACAAGATTCATTATATGAGCCACACACCTAACGTGAAGAAATTTTCCATCACACATGCCAATCTTTCTATCATAAAATATGCTTTTCAATTCTTCTATTGCAGTATCGTTCGAACTAGCGTTGTCAACAATGATTGTGAAAATCTTATCTATCCCCCATTCATCCAAACAAGACATAACTGCACTTGCAATATCCACCCCCTTATGACTAAAGATTTGGCGAAAACCAATTATCCTTTTCCTTAATATCCAATTTCTATCAATAAAATGAGCTGTCACACACATGAAGTTCAATTGTTTGCCTTGATTAACTACAGCGCCAGCTGGAATTGAGCTTAACAAAAATGACCAACAACAAGTTAGCGAGATGTTCAAACACAGAGTTCAGTCACACAGCAAAAGAAGGTGTCCAATGCTAACATAACCAGTTTGTTAGCAACTTAATTCAAGTCTACAACAACAGGACTATTAAATTTTCAAATGACGAACAACTATCTCCCCCACTCTCGTCATTTTCCCCTCCACAAACAAAATGAAATGAAAAACCCACATATCCCCTGTTCATATAATTGCACAAATCAAGCAGGACAGGAAAGCAAGCATCCAAAACAGAGCAGTACTGTAACTTTTTTTTCTCTTCTCGCACCCGATGGCAGCCTCCATCATTGTGGGTTTCGCCGGATCGAGAGAGAGGCGATACATGGGAGACCAAAGCAAATACAACACAACAACCCAATATGTAACTCTATTCCTACTTGAAAACCCACTGAGGGCAAAGGGATCAGTGGGTCGGTCGCCGCCTTGGTGGAGGTCCGACGGGATTAGTGATTCGAGATTGAATCCAAAAGAGACCGACCAAGATTCAAGGATATGAAGAGGGAGGGAGAGAGTACCAGAACGGCGGTGTGACCCGGGATGCGGAGGCCGGCGGAGGTGCGAATCTGGATGTTAGGTCAGGGAAAGAGGCTGGGGATGGCGGTGGAAGAACAGAGTAAAGAGTTGGGTGATTGCAAATCTAGGTTGAAGGAGAAGGAGGAGATTCTGGAACACTACAAGAGGCTTTTGGAGGAGAGCAAAGATGCGATGAAGGAGAAGGAGTCGGCGATGAATCGATTGAAGGAGGTGATCGAGGACAGGGATGGAGAGATTCGGCGATTGAAGGTGGTAGTGGCGGCAATGGAAAGCGATTAGGGGATGGAGAGATTCGACGCCTTCCCTGTTCAGTAAGAATTACCGGTTTGCGGTTTTGAACCGTAATCGTGTGGTTTCGGTCAAACCAAACCGCGAACCACGAACAACTAAATGGTTAGTCCGCAAATGAAACCGATAGTTAACCGTGCGGTTTGGATTGACCGTTGGAGCGGTTTGGAGCGGTTTGGTGTGGTTTGGTCAAACCAATGCCCACCCCTAGTGGTGTGGAAGAAGAAGTTGGTGACGAAGAAACAGCTGGTGAGCAAGAACCTGCGCTCCTCAGATATCGATGCCACACCTCATCTCTCCTTAAGGTTATAGCTAAAGGCCGCATTAACTTAACCGACCATGCATCGTAAATCAGTAATACTAAACCTAGGTGGAAAAGGAAACACAAAAACCAAGTCGCAGGTGTGAGAGGTATAGTTAGAGCTTAACCGCTTCGCCAACGGTAACAACACAAGGAACCTTCCTTTGCTTCTCTCTCTCTCTCTATAAAAGATTCCGAATACCACACTCTTTTTGCCACGTACAATGGCGGAGCAATATTACTCCGGCAAATTAGGGATTGGCGACGGAGAAAGATTCCAACCAACCGACGAAGAGATAGTGGGCCACTTCCTCTACCGGAAAGTAATGGCCGGCGGCGGCAACAACAACAACGGATTACTCAACCTGAGCCGGCGAGAAGCGAGCCGAGTTCCGGAGGCGGATCTGTACGCCGACGAGCCCTGGGATATCTGGTCAAACTTCTCATCGCCATCGTCGTCGTCTGACGCCCACGCGCCCACACAAGACCTTTACTTCTACACGAGGCTGCAACCGAGGAAGGCAGGAGGAGGGAACACGAGCCGGCGCGTGGGAAAAGGAGAAGGCGCGTGGCACGGGGAGGACACCGGGACGGAGATCTCGCTGGACATGGTGGTGAACGTGAAGCGTAAAGGCGGCGGCGGCAGTAGGAGCAGTAGTAGGACGCGGGTGACGGCGGTGAAGAAGAGGTTCAGCTACCGGAACCCTAAAACCCCGGAGGAGAACAAGCGGTGGATTCTTCACGAGTACAGCTGCAGGAGCGTGGTCGATGGCTGCCACGTGGACGGTGGGGATGATGGGCTTGCGGACCGGTCCTGGGTGGTCTGCCGGTTGAGGAAGAACCCACTCGTCAAGCGCCGTCGTCATTATGATGATAATAATAATAATGTGTTTATGGCGTCATCGTCTGAGTTATTGCCGTCATCGTCTTGGAATAACGACGGTGAACTACTTCAGGACCAGGGGACGACGTCGTTTCCGGTTCAGACGGAATACGGCGTCTCAAACGTGGACCGGTTCGGGTCGGGCTCAGGGCCCAATTGTAATGATGATGACGATGATATGACTCATCGGTTTCTGATGGACAGCTTGGACCTCAGCGATCCACCTTCTTGGGTTGATTTCTTCAGACAAGAGTAGAAGCACCAGCAATTGGATATTCGTGAATATAATTCACCGTATGTATATCAAGCTAATTAATTAACTCTCTTCTGTAATGGATGTTAATTAATTCCCCAAATATGAATCCTTCATAGTTAAGGGCCCAATTTACCCTTACCCCTTCCTCCCTCCTTCAATGAAGAAGTTCAACAAATCAGACAGATCGGTGTGCATCACAATCTGGCGACTTCGCATGAGCTGGCGACCGAGTTAACACAGACGACATTGATAAAGTCCCGCGAACAAACTAGCTAACCGACTACAAAAATCACTAATGCCCAGCAACAGGCAAGCAACCTCACACGGAGATTGAGATGCTTGTTTTAGAGGAGAAACCGAGAGATCTAAAATTTCAGAAACAGTCGGCGGCCTCGCTTCGAAATTTAGACCACATTAGAAGATTGGATGTTTGCTCTGTAAATCTTTTTGACACCACATTTGAATTGATTATGTAACCCAATGTGTAAGAGTATTGTGATCAATTCATTGTATCAATGTAGTGGTTAATAATATGTGGTGGAAACTGCGGCATATAAGCATGGCTAAATTTTTTTTTTTTTTTTGATGAATAAGCATGGCTAAATTGTCCTACCTCTATCTGGAAGGAAATTTGTCTCCTATGACATGAGACTAAAGGTAGTATACAATTCGACTAGAAGACCATATATTATATATGGATGAGAATAAACCATGTTATACTTTTTTGTTGGATGAAATTGAGTCGAACCCAAACCTAATCCTAGAACTAATCTAAAATTATCGACCCTGTAGGGTTAAGCTACTGGCCTAGCCTTGCTGACTCTATTTAGTATTTACCCTTGACCATTTCTGGCCCACATGAATGGATAGGGCCAAGCTGGATTAACTCACATGGTTAACCCAACTCAATTGCATCAAATTATATTACAAAAATTCAAATTACATTTAAAACCCCCCAAAATAACCCACAATATTTCCAATTAATTCCAAACAAAATTTAGATCAATCCCATAAAATTAAAGTTACATAAAAAGTCCAAAATACCTTATGAAAAATTCTAATTAATTCAAAAAAAATCCTAGGCAATATAAACAATTTGAATAAACCCTAAACAATTCAAATTACATCTAAAAATTCAAATTACCTTACGAGGAATCCAAATCACATCTAACAATCTAAATTACATCTAAAAAGTACATTTCAATATTCACTTGTTTGCTAATGGGATTTGATGTTGTATTTCATCTCCGAATACCAACCTTCATATTTTTTTTTTTGTCTAAAGTCATTGTTTGTTAAGGTATGCAAATTCGTGGGGTACACGGATTTGGACCATTTTTTAGCTCCGAATCCGTGGACTCCACGTATTTGCAAATACCACATTTCATTTGGTATTTGCAAATACAACATTATGGAGGGGAAATTTTGTAGACCCAAATACCAAATGAGCTAAACAAACAATGTTGTCTTTCAAATATAAAATGCAACAAATTCATCATAAATCCAAAAGTTTTCAAAACCAAAAACCTTCATTTTCAAATCCAACAAGCAAACGAGCGCTCATGATCTCAAATACATTGTATTTCAATCATCATCAACCAAATTATCAATTCATGATATTACTATCATCCAAGAAAAACTCCTTCAACTCTACAAAACTAACAACACGTGAAATAGATTAGTAATTGTCTAAACAAATATTCATACTTTGTTCAACTTCCTCAAATTTCTCTTATATATCAATTGTAAGAGTACTTGATTAAAGCCTATTTAAAACACAAATCAAACTTTCAACGACAAATGAATGAACTTCAACATTCATCTAAATCATGTCCTCTAGTACTGAAAGTGAACTCTGAATGAAACCGTGAAGACATGAATTGCCAACACATCTTAAGCCATCAAATCTAGTATTGGGTACTCACTAGCTAAAATGCTTCTTTCTGCATGCTAAAATATCAAGTCGTGTATCCTCATCACCCTCAATGTTTGACTTTAAGTACCTCTAAGCTCCAACATAGTAGTTTCTTTTCTTCTAATATTACTCAACACTTCACATTAATGATAATTTGCTTCTACATCCCCCTAACCCCCAACCCCTTCTTGATGAGCTTCCACAAGTAACCCCTCTCATTTCCAATTTGTCATAGAGCATGTCCTTCGAGCAATCCTTCACCTTGCCAAGCAACTCATCTTTAGTCACATCTCTTCTATATATTTTCCATCCTGAGAACTTCATCAAGCACAAAAATCGCATATTCCAACTTGTATCTTCGATCAAGACCCACAACAAAGGAATAATAAAGGGTTGATACTATAAGAGTTTCCATAATGATTGCCATGCCCATATACTACATGAAAGAGATCATTGCTTGTGACATACACAAAATCAGAACTTTCATTGTAGCATCACATAATATTTTTCAGAAATGAAACTAGAGACTCCACATTACACCGATCAAAGTCCTCTGGAGTCCCATTGACTTGTCAAGCTTAACCCTAATACCAGGGATCTTCCACTTTTAACCTCTGGACCTTTTGAAATACCAAAGCATACTCTAACAAGATAAGAGTTCCATCTAGTCTCCACACAAAAGCACACAAGTTTTTAGTCTCTTAACTTCTCTTCATGATGGGCACAAGTCTTAAATCTATGCATTCTCTACAACTTGCTGATTCGCTCGAGAATTCAACGTTTAGAGACACAGGGGAGCTTCACAAGGTGAAGAAGATCGGTCCTGCCCTCTTGGGTGTCGCAGCTCACTCAGTCCAAGGTTTCCATTCTAGTCCTCTCAAAAGACTATGCTTCCAGCGAGTGGCGCCCCAAAGAGCTTGCCAATATGTGGTAAGAGTGCTGGAAGCTAGGAAAGGGGCACTTTATTCGGCTGATTTTCTACTTTGCACTGCTGTGTCATAAGGGTGCTTTCATGCAGGCATTCAATTGGGGAGATTTTCCTATGTCCCATAGACTGCGTGCACTCTAAAGTCTAGTGATTGCTATTTCAACCCGTCCTGCAGGTATTAGATCGGCGATGTGGGGTATTACCCGATCTGCAATAGCGATTAGCGTGGGGCGGGGCATGGGTATTTACTTACGATCTGCCCCGCCATGTCTCGTTATTGGCTCATTCTATCTCAATTTCTTACAGGATCTATACATATTTCTCATATTTTGACTTTTCCTCAACTAGTTAGAGTCGATATTTCAACTTGTTACACTCAATTACCCGTTCTATTATCACTATTTTTATTATTATTTAAGTGTTTTCCTCTTCGTTTTATCGTAAAAAAACAAAATTTGCATGTATTTTTTCTAATAACATATAAGAGTTAGTCGACCCGTCCAATCCTTTACCTGCCCCAACCAGCAGTAACATGGGACGGACATGTGTATTGTGGTACCCACTCCAACCCGCCCTATTGCCATCACTACTGAATTCTGAACATGATATTCTTTCTATAACGAAGTTGACCAAAAGATGTGAAAACGCTAGGTTGAATTGCCACCTAACCTAAGTGATTGTTCTGTCTCAAACTGCCTTAAACGAATCAAGATTCGGGAAAATATTATCCATTTCTATCACAGGCTGGGCATGCTCTGGTCTGCGCTTCTGATTTGATCTTATGAATCCAAATGGTTTGCTTCAATTGAATGTTTCAATCCCTGCCATTACGTCTATGCAAAATCTCTTGCCAAGCTGAATGGAAGAGTGAAAAGTTACCTGAGCCTTTTCTCGAGTTTTCATCAAATCAAATTTATATTTTAAATACTCTACATGATATTAGGTTGCAATATTAAGACACGAAAAGTTGTTAACGACATTCAAGCAGCCGGTCGCATTTTCTATAGAGCAATAAAGCTAGGGTCTAAGTTTAGCAACTAGTAATCAGATCTATCCACCTCTCCAACCACAAGTAGGATCAACAAAAACACCATGCATCAACACAACCACAATGATGTTGCAACCCGGAAGAAAACACACACAATATATAAGCAAGACAACTATGGAGGAAGGGAGATTCAAAGTTCAGAATGATTAACACTTAAAAAAATCCTTACATTATAGAGCTCCCAATAAACAGCAACATGACAGCAAAAATTTGATTCGGTAGATCAAACGTAAAACAAACCCTCAATTGCTCTTAAGTTTCCATGGACACATAACTACTAACCACCACAATAACAATCCACCGGACGACCAGTACCCAAACCGGAAGGCAAGCAGGATCTCAACGAAGCCTCCTGGCCTCTCTCTCGGACTCGAGCAAGGTGAGGACGTCGCCTTCTCTCACTGGTCCCTTGACATTCCTCATGATGAAACGGTTGGGGTCGTCCATGAACTTGACCCTGACCTGAGTCACCTGACCCCTGGATCCAGTCCGACCCATCACCTTCACCACCAATGCGTGCTTGGTCTGAGAGTCCATCCTGTACCGATTCCAAATTGTGGCACAGAGTTAGAAGCGGAACACCCACATGAAAAGTCATCGTTCTAACCACTAGATGATATCTGTTTGATACTAGATATAAATGTATACAAGGCAGCAGCATAGATCAGGGATCTGTGGTACCAATACCGCAAGCAGAAAATTCAATTGGCTCAATAGATGTCACAAACCCTAAATGACCAACTACAGTGGACAAGCTAACCCAATTGGTACATCAAAAATAGCAACGCAGGACGATCATAGTTACAAATAGCACCAGAATAACCAAATTTATCGTACGAAAATAGTGGGGCATAGTTTTCTAGTTTGTGTTCATCAAGCCATTACCCAACTAATCGGTACTGCAAATTAATCTCAAAGGGGAACAACCATCATCTGCAACCACAATCCAATTAATACCCTAGTAGTTCAAACCTTACTCAATGGCAATTAGAAACCAATTCCTAAGAGAAATCGAACAGACAATCCCAACAACAGGAGAAGAACGAGTCGCGCAGAATCAAGCTATCCATACAGTATCAGTTTCCGCTAGGAAACCACGAAATCCGAAATCGTACAAACAATCATCTAACATCACCCAGGAAAAATCACAGATCGATCTCTCCACAGGTTCATCACCACACAACCAAACAACAAGCAAGACAAAGCATGAACACCGCTCACTTCAGAATCAACCATATCAACAACAAGAATAAAGAGCAACCAGGGACGGCAATTGGAGAAGAGAGCAGAACGAACCTTACGAAGCTCAGAGGAGACTCAGCGAAGAAAGAGCAAGAACAGGGGAAGACGGCAGCTGCTGCTAGGTTTTTTCTTTTCTCTCAGAATATAGAAGCGGGCGAGTGAATGAGAGTCTCTAGGGTTTTTGTAAGGAGGGAGGATCCAGATTTTACCGTTTCGTCCAAGGACGGGCTCTTCCACAGTGGGGGTAGTATTGTAATTACCAGTTAGAGCCGATTGGATTGGTGGCTGGTTCGGCCCATATTTGTGGTTATTGGGCCTGATTAATCCTGGCCTCGCGTCGCCCGCCAGTCCACATGCTCATCGTCGGTTTTAAAATTAACTCTTTGTTTTTTTTTTTTTATAGTAAACTCTTTATTCGTTGAATTAGCCAAAATTTGGGTTGTTGCAACTTGCAACCAGCGGAAGACGAAGAATGACGCCCACCTCCCACTCCCAACCATTTCCAACACTACTCTTCAATTTGTAACACACTTGGGAGCTCCTCCAGTTTTGGCTCTGTTGCTTTTAGATGGAGCTCACCTGCTCTACTTCTTCTTTTGCGAGAATTTCAGCTACAACCATTCATTCCAGCGCTTCTTATCATCTTCAGACCAAGATACCCATCAAGCCCAAGTGTCTCCCGGACTTGCTCCTCCGAAGCTCAAAACTTTCGCTTCCGCCAAGACTTGGGTCTCAAAGAAACTGCTCTCAGCGGGTGGCTAGCAGGGCGCGCAGGAGTAATTCCATCTGGGTATGTTATTAAATTGTGAGTTGCGGTCTGTGGTTCTTCTGCTTTCTGTAGACTTATGAGCGACATTGGAGTAATTCGTGTAGCTGGAAATTTTTCTTTGGATTTGATTCTTCATTAGATTACTTCTCGCTCAGGCATTCTGAAACAGCAAAAATGAATTTGGTTGCTTTCAACTTCAATGGAGTGGGGTGAATGGCGGTTGCCCTTTGTTGTCTTGTTCTTTGTCGCATGGATTAGCTGGATTTTACCTTACAGAATTATGGTTCATAAGCAAATTGACAATTCCCTTCCAAAGGTTTAATAGGATTTTGAATTTGCTTGGAAGATGCTTTCTGAACTGGCATTTCTGACATTTGAAGTTGCACTGCTTGTGGCTTTAGGCAGTCGTAAGGAAAATTTTGTTACTTCTGACACTTCCGATCTCATACTAATGTAAACAATCGATGGTCTGATGGTCCGGGAATCACTAAAGTAAGATGACATCATTTCTCAATGGATGTGCAAGTTGAAAGATCTTTTGAATCTAGAGGCAGCCATTACTTCTGAGAGACTAGAAAGATGGTGTTCATTTAATGGTTTTCCCTCCCCTCATGTTATGATGAATTTGAATTAGCTGCTACAGACTGGTAGTTTTATCAATGTCATGAATATAGTCTTAGATTACTTGCTTGAAATCTCCATGAGACTCATGGCTCATGTAATTGGAATCCAGGCCTGCAGTCAAGTTGGAGCTGGGTCTGATCATGTAGTAACCAAGTTCTCGAATTTCAAAGATGCATGTTGGAGATTTCTGAGGCCCCATACGATACGTGGAACGGCTTTAGGGTCCACGTAAGTAGTTATATCATGTAATTTAGCGCTTTTGCAATTGTCACCAGCTACTCGTGCATGTTCTTCTGCTTATTCATATTACTATATTATTTCATGTGTTAACAGTGCTTTGGTGGCAAGAGCATTGATTGAGAACCCAGAGCTTATAAAATGGTCTCTTGTGGTAAAGGCATTCTCTGGCCTTCTTGCTCTACTGTGTGGGAATGGGTATATAGTTGGCATCAATCAAATCTACGACATTGGAATAGATAAGTATGGGCCACATTTCCTCTTCTTCTTGCTCGTAGAAGCTCAAACTATTTGTGTCTTAAAATTTCTGCTGTGTCATTGTGGTAGAAGTGTGTTAGTTTATCTCTCTTTATTTTGCAGGGTTAACAAACCTTATTTACCTATTGCTGCTGGGGATCTTTCAGTCCCAACTGCATGGATGTTGGTGATACTTTTTGCAGTGACGGGTGTTCTCATTGTTGGACTGAACTTTGGTCCATTCATCACTTCTCTTTACTGCCTTGGTCTTTTCCTGGGCACCATCTATTCCGTCCCTCCATTTAGAATGAAGAGATTTGCAGTTGCAGCATTTCTTATTATCGCAACGGTATTCCATTAACTCCCTGTTGTGTTTGATGTGACTACTTCATTTGAATATCTTGTTCTTGAACCATCACCAATTTTGTCTGGAACCATAAGCTGGCTCCATTTTTAATACCCTCTTTTGATAACCTTTTCCCCTTTGGCATAATAACTAACTAACAACCTTCGGAATCCTGCAGGTACGAGGTTTTCTTCTCAACTTTGGTGTCTACCATGCCACAAGAGCTGCCCTTGGTCTTCCATTTGAATGGAGGTGCATATATTTCTTAGTTACTCACTGCTTGTGATGGAGTTGAGAAAAATAAACTAAATGGATGATATGTTTTGGTGAGTTAGCTTTATTTGACAGAATGAAGGGATGAACTTATTAACGATTGCTTTAGATTAGGCTTTAGAGCTTCATGAAATAAGCCAACATGCCCTTTCAGTTTATCGTGTACCCTATTTGGCATTTTGGAACTTACTACTTGAACTAGAACCCTTATACATCTCAATATCTTGTTAGGTCAATCATTTTCTTATTCATTGTCAGAGAATTTAACATACTCGTTGAAGTCTATTTTTTCATCTGTTTTCAGAAGTTACAATTTTGTCATACTTTTGTCTCACATTGTGCTTTAATCTATATATCTGGCAGTTACCCAGTGGCATTCATTACATCCTTTGTGACAGTTTTTGCTCTGGTCATTGCTATAACAAAGGACCTTCCAGATGTAGAAGGGGATCGCAAGTGAGTCATATGTCATTCGTTTGTAATGACTTCTCTAGTTCAGTTTGAAGTTTGAACGGCTTTTTAGTCTTTTTAATTACAGAAAACAGCTTTTTAGTCTGATTACTCATAAATTTGCACTTCTATTTCCAACTCCTACTCATAGTCTCTAATCGAGTCTAATATTATATTGTTTATCAATAAATAGTAATCATGATACAGCCTCATGTGTACCACTGCAGATTTAAGATATCAACTTTGGCAACGAAACTTGGCGTTAGAAATATTGCATTCCTTGGTTCTGGACTCTTGCTGTTGAACTATATCAGTGCTGTATTGGCGGCTATTTACTTCCCGCAGGTAAAAATCTCCCCAGATTAAGCTTACTCGAACTTATGGATGGATTTATATGTCAATTAAACTGCAAATATCACATGTAAATACCAAACTTCTTTCTCTTTCCCGAAAATGTTTCTGAACATAATGCTGTTCTCATCTCTTTTCGCAGGCTTTCAGGGGTAGCTTAATGATACCTGTACATACAATCCTAGCAACCTGTTTGATATTCCAGGTGCCCTGTTTTGACTTCTTTATGGAATATTTACCAATACAGTTAATGATTTGATCTGGGTTCCGCATCTGGTATTCTGTTCAAGCCTTCTACAGCCATGTTTATGTTGTTTGTGCTTTCTCAACCATGCTATTTAGGGTATAGACAGTTAGTCTTTCTGGTGGTTGTTTGTCTATTGTTCTAATGGATGTTGTTGATGATATATCAGACATGGCTGCTGGAACAGAGGAAATATACAAAGGTACAGCATGCCTCTGGCTTACGATGCAGCAAGCATCTTTTGTGGCTACTTGGGAGCCTAATTGATTACTTCATATATTTCTTGTGCAGGATGCAATCTCAGAGTTCTACCAGTTCATTTGGAATCTTTTCTACGCCGAGTACTTCATTTTCCCTCTAATCTAGAGCTTATGCGACCCAACCCCTCTTTTCACCTGTTTCTCTACACCCTTTTTTCTGTATGCTCAACCGGCTCCCCAATTTTTTTTTTTTACTGAAGTTAGCTGCTTGTTGTTGTACTGCTGATGCTGCTGTAGAATGGGCAACAACTAAACATTCAAATCGGGTTACTTTTTGGCAAACAACAGACATTATATCATCTTTGCCGAAGTGTTAACATTTCCATTAGTAGAAAACATCCATTGAGGTTACATTTCAAGATCCTGGCTTTCTTGTTCTACTCCCTCTCCATTCTCTGTCTGAGTTGAAATCCAATGTTACAGCATATAAAATGGCACAATACTAGTTCATCCATTCATAAGCAGTTAAACACAAAATAGATTATACGAAACCGTTCATAATACATATATTTAGACACTCGTTTGGAAGGAAAGTAGGAAGCAGCACACCAACCCATGAGCTGGATATGATAAGAGTGATCTTAGGGTTTAAAAGCTCAGAAAAGAAAGGAAAACAACACATACACACTCCGATATGACGAACAGAAGTACAGAACACTCCCATGACACACAATCCAAGATAATAACCATGCCTACTCAACACTCTTCGTTATTTAGTAGTAGATAGATAGATAGATAGATAGATAAGAGTGGCAGGCATAGTGTTCTCCGAACAGGGGCTGATGAATTGATCATTCATCGTCATCATTGCGGCGATGGTGCTGATGCTTATAGCGATGCTTCTTCTCATCATCATCATCGTCGTCATCCTCCTCAGAGTCATTATCTCCCTGCAAGTTCGATGCACAAGACACCAGTTAGTAAGCTCTGTAACAAGATTTTCATTCAAGCTACATCTGTGGATTGATCAAAGATCATCCCAGAAAATGCAGTCAATAACCATCCATCTACACATAACTCGTCGAGCACCAATGATCAGTCCAAAGTTCTTCCAATTACCATAGAACCAAATTTCAACCATCCATCAAAGATATATATATATATATATCATAAAAAGCTTCCACCTTGTGGTAGAAAAACAGTCACTGCAGCAACGAACACAAATGAAACTTCCATATTGGAAAGTAAACTATAGATAGATGAACTGTTACTAGCAATATGCCAATATCAGAGCCAAACACAGTTACTCAAGCAGCCAAATGAAAAAGGGTATGGGAAAAGCTTACATATTTCTTGCGGCCATAGCCTTCTTCACCACCTTCTTCGCCACCACCATAGCCATACTGGCCGCGAGACTTCTCCTCATCATCGTCATCATCATTGCGGCGCCTCCCATAAGCAGGCTTCTCGGAGCTATCCTGTCTGCGGTAACCTCCAGAGCCATACTCAGTCGTCTCCTGGCGCCTCTCATAATCTTCACCTTCCTCTCCATAGCTCTGCTTTCGCCTTCCATATTCAGACCCACCACCGCCTTCATACTCTGATGATTCCGTCTGGCGACCGTAACCAGATCCGTGCTCGGGCTCGGTCCTCCCTCCATAACCCGACCCGTATTCAGATTCAGTCCTGCCACCGTACCCGGATTCCTGCTTACGGCCATACCCAGATCCGTACTCAGGCTCCGGCTGCCGGCCGTATTCGGGTTCCTCCTTACGGCCATAGCCAGATCCGTACTCGGATTCCGGCTGCTGGCCGTATTCGGATTCCTCCTTACGGCCATAGCCAGATCCGTACTCGGGTTCCGGCTTCCGGCCGTATTCCGATCCATATTCGGGTTCCTGTTCACGCCCATAGCCCGATCCACCATACTCGGACTCCTGCTTACGCCCGTAACCCGATCCATGCTCAGATTCGGTTCTTCCACCATATCCGCCGCCGCCAGATCCGTATTCAGTCTCCGTCCTCCCGCCGTATCCACCGCCGCCGCCAGATCCATACTCAGATTCAGTTCTCCCACCATATCCGCCGCCGCCAGATCCGTACTCGGTCTCAGTCCTCCCGCCAGATCCGTACTCGGACTCACCGGCAGGCCTGCCACCGCCGGGCTGGAAGCCGTAAGCGGGACCGGGTCGGGGCTTAGGACGGGAGTAGCTGCTGTACTCGGAGTTCAGAGCCTCGTCGCCGTAGGCAGAGGGCTCCGACTGGGACGAGAAGTGAGGACGATCGTAGTCGATCTCGTCGGAGGCGGATTGGCCCATTGGGTAGCTGGTGTCGTCGCTGGGGGGAATTGGGCGACCATAGGTCAAGTGGATGTCATAGCCGCCGCCGTATGGCGTTGGATCGTACTCGTCGAAGTCGTCGACGGCGTCGGCATCTGCCCTGGAATAGTACGGCATTTTCGTCGGTGAAGGAGAAAGCTAATTTTTGGCTGCGTGGCGCTCTAGTTTGCGATTTGGGGAAATCAGAAGAATCTGGGATCACGAAATAGATGGATTTATACAACTATTGTGTGGAGTGGCGGAAAGAAGTAATTGTCTTCCACGGTCATCAAATTTTACGTCGGCTTAACTTAGGTCACTGAACTTTAAGCTTCAACTAATTAATGTCACATCCAACTCGCTATTGGTGGAAATTTGAACCCGCCCCGTGGGTATTGTCATTAGGGCCGCACGACCAAGAGTAAGGCCGTGACAGTATTACCCGACCTGACCAACGATGGGGCGGGTAATACTCGCCGCGTGGTAGCATGAGGCGGGGCATGGGTATATACTTTCGTTCTGCCCTGACTCGTCCCGCCCAATTCTTGGCCCATTTTATCTCAATTTCTTACAATATTTATACATATTTTTCTTATTTTGACTTTTCTTCACCTAATTAGAGTTGTTCTTTCAACCGGTTAGACTCAATTACCTATTCTATTATCACTATTTTTTATTCATAAATTTTTTTCCTTCGTTTATCGTAAAAAAAATAAAATTTGCATGTGTTTTTTTTCAAATAACATGTAAGAGTGGGTCCTGTCCCATACCTGCGCGGGTTTTACCCGGTCCAATGCAGTCAAAATCGCGTTTTAAAACTTAAAAATTTACGATTTTACGCTTTTAGGTCACCAAAACGCTTTCGTTTCCATATAAAAACTTAAGTGTATAAAATCGGACTAAATTGCACTTAAAAGCTTACGCTTTTACGATTCTAGTTCACCAAAACGCTTTACGTTTTTACGCTTTTAGTTCACTAAATGGGTATTCTTTTCATGAAATTAATTATAAAAAGTAATATTTAAAAGTAAATCACCAACAATATGATGCATTTGAGATGAAAAGATACATACCAAGTACTTGGATGCATTCTCAATTTCAATAGAGTAATCTAATTCACCAGCTAGGCTCTTCCCGAATTCATTAGCATAGAGGAAAAAGTGGTTTATTGTTAAATTTTATGTTTACGAACTTATTATTAAGATGCTATAAGTTGCTCTGCTTTAGACATGAATTGCATGTATTTATTAACTTATCTAAATTATGTGCATTCATATTTTACATAGTATGTGTCCTACTTAATAGATTTTTAGTTATTTTTCAGTATGCGTCAAAAACTTACGCTTTTACGCTTTGATTCTACGCTTTACGATTTTACCTCTTTTCTGCTTCTAGGCAGAATCGCGCTTTTGACTGCATTGCCTGGTCCTACCTGTAGTAGCATGGGACGGGGCATGGATATTGAGGTACCCGCCCCGCCCGCTTGACATCATACAACTCGCTCATGTTTCTTTATGTTCTCTAAAGTTTGAGTCTAGTGGTTTGCTCATCTTCCTTGTTTAGCGATAAGCTTATCCACCGTCGAGAAATCTTAAATTCCCAATTGTGATTCCTGTCTAAAATTTTGCTTATTTTGCATACATTTGTTATACCAAAGTTTAATGCCTTCAGTGGCAGAGGCAGCTTTTCAAATCACCCATGTTCTCTTTTCATAACTTAAATATATAAGTATTTAATTTAGAATTATTTAATAAATAACAATAATAATTTATTATTTCCAAATAATTCATTCATAGATTAAAAATAACCGATTATACAATCATTGTTTTCATAAACAACCACGAAAGGATTTCATATTGTGAAAGAAAAGCAAAAGCATTCGTTATCTACACTATTAAATAAGTCTCTTTCAACGTATCTCACTAAACAAGCACTAGCAAACTTGCCGCCAAATCGACTTGGAAATTTGTTCCTAATATAACTCAAAGCTGAAAATATTCTTTTTACACTTGTAGTTGTAATTGACAGAATCAAAATTAGTGGAATTGTCGTTGTCGCTATACAATTTCATATTGTTGAGGAAAAGATTGAATAGGCATAAGGAGAAAAGAGAACCGATTAGGTTTCTTCATTCTAGCGAAAACAACTTTTTAACATCTTCCATTAATAGGAGTGCGGATCTGGTGACTAACGGGGTCCTTAGTCACTTGACTAAAACCCCCCTCAGTCTTTGGATTGATCTAATGGTCCAGATATATTAATGAATTATTATTAAATGAGAAGGGTAGTTTTGGTATTATCAGAAATTCATTAACTCCTGTTTTTTGTTTTGTTTTATTTATTGTTATTGATTTCTGATTTTCCTCTGCAACCGTCTCCTCCTTTTACCTTTTTTGCAATGTCCGGAGAGAGAGAGAGAGAGAGAGAGAGAGAGAGAGAGAGAGAGAGAGACATGGCGGAGGAGAACCCATCGTCGGTGGAGGAGAGAGATCGCAGCGCCGGTGGAGGAGAGAGAGAAAGAGACAGGCAGCGCCGTCGGTGGAGAGAGATGGCGGCGACGACGGTGGATGAGAGAGAAACACCGCCAGAGCCAGATTCGCCGGAGAACGGCAGCGACGGCAATGATGCAAGAGAGGGAGGTGACGACGGCGATGGAGAGAGGAAGGAGACCTCGACGGCGCCGAAGGCGATGGAGAAAGGAAAAGGAAAAGGCGATCGCGATGGAGGCGGCAGCGTTGGAGAGAGAGAGAATGTAGCTCTGGTCGTCGGGAAAACAAAGGAGAGAGAGGCGATGGTGGAGGAGAGAGAGAGGTAGTGGCGGAGAGAGAGAGTCGATGATGATGGAGGAGAGAGAAGAGGTACGGTGATGGAGAGAGAGAGAGAGAGGGGGGTAGCTACGAATGTAAAGAGCGTCGGCGGCGGCAGCGGTGGAGAGAGAGTCGGCTCTCGACATCATATTTTGTTGTCTGAAGGAAGAATAATGGTTTGTAATGCAAATGTTGTCAGTTTGTATCATTAGTACTTTTGTACATAATATCAGTATGATTTGTATAGTTTGTATGTTTTGTATTATTAATTTGTACATAAAAAACATTACAAACATGGTTAATAAAAATGACAAATATGTTGGACAAAAATAACAAAGCTTACAAACATTACAAAAGAACTCGACAAACATTACAAAATAACAAAGCTTACAAACATTACAAAACAACTCGACAAACATTACAAAACATACTAACAGTACAAAATGTCACTACTTATGATACAAATCAGTAAACGTGTATTACAAATCAATGAATAGAAAGTGTACAAATCATAACACAAAGTATACAAACTGGACAAACAAACATTACAAATTACAATATATACAAAATGGCCATATAAACATTACAAACTAGAATGATAAAAGATATAAACATAATCAATTACAAACTAGGCCGACAAAAATTACGAAATCGTCGCCGCCAATAAATCTGACGATGTCGTCGTCTCTCTCCTCCTCAACCGTCGCTGCCTCTCTCTCCTCCACGGTCGTCGTCGCTCTCGTCTTCTCTTGCCGTCGTTGTTCCTCGTCGCCACCACCGTCTCTCTCTCTTCTCCTCTATCGCCGCCGCTCTCTCTCCTCTACGGTCGCCATCGCCTCTCTCTCTTCTCCTCTACCTCCGCCTATCTCTCTCTCTCTCATCGAACACAGAACGTCGTCGACCGTCGTCCCTAACTGCCGTCGTCCCTCACTGTCGTCGTCCCTCGCCGTCGTCGTCCCTGGCCGCCGTCATCCCTATGGATCCATCTCCACATGCGACAAACAGGTGAGGGAAGGACTTTTTTATATTTTAATTACAAAATTAAAATGTATAATTACTTTGTTGTCCTTCCTTAAAATGAATTAATTTTAGCCTTAGGATTTTAATGAGCATGGAAGGCTGAGATTGACTTAGCCAAGTGACTAAAGGTACTCCACTTAGTCACCTTATTTTAACCCCATTAATAGCGCGCAACCCAAGTTATCTTCCATGCTTGTCAACTTCAAAATTCCCAGCCTTTTATATAGAGCAGTCTAATGATTATTATCCACATTTTTATTGACGGAAACCTCAAATTGTCTTATGTTGATTTGCTAGCCATAATCTCTCAAATACACTTGAAATATCCCCTTCAATTTATCATATTATTGGAACACCACTTTTTAATATTAACCTTGATAAATTGGAACATCATCCTTGAGAGATTATCATTATAATTGTTATGTGTTTTTATGTTATTGGTGATTTTTCTTATTAATATCATTTCGTCTTCGTTTTTATATGGACCTTAAAATCCTACCATTTTACGATTTCAATTTTACCCCCATTTTCGATTTTACTTAAAATTCCAATTTTATCTGTTTTGTCTGTGGTAATCGATGGTGGTAGCTGCACCAATGTCGTGAGTCTTGATGCAGTCAAGAAGTTGGGATTGAGTATCTTAAGCATCCACAACCTTACAATCTTCACTAGTTGAATGACTATGGATCCATCCAGGTTAACAAGAAGGCCAAGGTTCGGTTTCAGATTTGTGAGTATGCAGATGAAGTCTGGTGTTACCTTGCCCCAATGCAGGCTACTCATCTCTTATTGGGATGTCCATGGCAATATGATCGTGGAGTTATTCACGACAGAAGACATAATATCTACTAGTTCAAACAAGGAGACATAAGTTTCTGCTCAAACCATTGTCGCCATCTGAAGTTCGAGAATATCAACGACAATGGAGCTGAATTGGGCAAGGGAGAAATGAAATGCAAGTGGCTTGGATTTGGAGGACGGAAGTGGAACCCATCTTATGGCTCGAAGACACATGTTGACTGTGTTGAGAACAATTCAGTTGGGAAATTATGATGATGAACTTTCTTGCATGAACACACAAGGTTTGAGGACAAAGCTTCTTCAACAGGGAGGGAGTGATGTGATTCCCCGGCTAGGAAGGGTCCAATTCCCCTACCGGGGATCACAAGGCGTCAACTAGGGAATAGGAGCAAGAGACCCCAGGTGGGCATTAATCCTCGATCGGGGATCGGGCTGACAAGTTGTAATTACCAATTGTGTTTAGAATTCTTTTCCTTTTCAGGTTTTTTATTAGTTTTTTTTTTGTTTATTTGGTCAATTTAAAGGTTTATACTCGAGTTTTAGAGCATACATTGAAGATTATTGACTTTATTCTTAGTTCATTGAGCTTTCAGCTTGTGAATTGTGCTTTGTATCAGTCGAGTATTTTCCTTGATTTTGGTTGATCTTCTACCCTATATTGATAGAGTCTTCTCAAAGGTGTAAGATTCACTTCAATTATGTTTTATTCTTAATCCTAACCCATGTTCGGGTGGGCATTAATCCCCGATCGGGGATGTGAAGGAGGAAGACCAGGATTAGGGCTGGCGAGCTGGAATTACCTTTTGTGTTTAGGATTCTTTTCCTTTTCGGGTTATTGTAACTTTACTCGATAACATATAATATAAAGGCAAAATACAGCTGTATATCCAACCCAGAAACATGCCCGATAACCACTTATCCTCCTCCGATCGACGCCTCCACCCCCAAATAACCCTACCCCAAGCCCAGATTTCGATTCCAACCACAATCCTCAACCATTGCCTCCCTTTTACTCTGACAGCTTCCATGCAGTCGGCGCCATGGTGATACCAAGCTTGAATCTCAAACAAAAAAAAAGCTTGAATCTAACCAAATCGCCAACAGAGAAGACTGCAGCAGCGAGGTCTAACAGATAACGGTGTAAAGTTTGGTTGCTTTTTGTCTTATGTGGCAGGTGAGATGGCATCGATTCAGCATTCCGTTAGTCAATTTAACGCCGTCTGACACGTCGTTATAGTTTCAGACGAAAATGGATAGATTTGTCACACAACCTTCCGATTTTTGGATATTTCGTGTATATCGATAGTTGTTGATATATTTGTCACAAACCTGATAGTTGTGGATATACAACTGTATTTTGCCTAATTTTTTTTTCCTCTTTTAATCCACGTCATTTAGTGGGGTCAGAAACACGCCAACTAAGCATCCACCGTATGTCCAGTCATCGAGTTAACTGACGGAGTTAACGGAGTGGACAAAAATGGATATTTCATGTATTTCGATAGTTGTGGATATATTTGTCACAAACCTGATATTTGTGGATATACACCTGTATTTTGCCTAATATAAACTCTAAATAGTCTATACCCTGAACCCCAAATGATTTTATGTGCACTATTAGGTTGATGATGTATCTAAATCAATATTTGATGATATTATATGCGTTAATAGGTTGATGATGTATATTATTATACTAAGTTAATAATTGATGATGTAATGATCAGACTTTAGTGAACTAGGATTTCAAATGTTAACTTTTGGTTTATCTTCATCGAATTCCTTCTATTATAGTCAGGCTGCGGGTGGTCGGGTTACGGGTTCAGGTTAGTCGGGTTGCGGGTTGGTCGGGTTTGCGGGTTCATCGGGTTGCTGGTTGGTCGGGTTGCGGGTCGGGCGGGTTACGTGTCATTGACTTTTAGTCAAATCGGGTTGCCGGTCGGGTTACATTTTGACAGCTCTAACGAAGAATGACTAAATGTGACATGTTTCAGTAATTCGAGTGACATTCATAAAAAAAAAGCAATTCGAGTGACTGGAGTTGGACGGAGGCTAACGGGAAAGTAACTAAATGTAACCAGTTTTAGTAATTTGAGTGACTAAAATTGATATTAATTTTTTCTAATGATTAAACATAACACAATTTAGTAATCCTAGTGACGAAATATGAAAAATGACAACCTTTCTTGCACTCTCTCCCTCTGCTCCGCCTCGACATTCTTTCTCTTCTCTCAGAGCAGCCGCAAGCAAGATCTCTTCTTCTTCTTCCTCTCCGAGCCAGAAACCATCATCCATCCCCTCCCCTCCCCTCCCCTCCCTCTTGAGCCAACCCGTCTCGCCGCCGTCCAGCCATTCCTTCTTTCTCCCCGAACTCCAGAGACCCCAGCCCCCAATTCCTTCTTTACCGCTCCAGAAACGACCGCGTCCTTTTCCTTCTTCCTCGATCTCCAATACCCAGCGCCAGAAACCACCATCCACTCCTTCGCCTCCCTATAGAAGCCCTAGCCGCCTTCCATTCCTTCCTTCCTCGAGCTCCAGAACCACCGCCCCGTTTCCGACGAAAACCCAAGAAGTCCCCTGTCGACCGGACTCTCCTGCCGACTGCGACTAGCGCAGCCGGCCAGCTCTAGTCGAATTCTCACCAGCGGTCCAGCTTCTCTTCTGCCATCGCATCCGGGTTTTGGTCAGTCCTTCGATTCCTTTTAGTCTTTCTCCATAATCTGTCGTTGAACGCTACACTTTTCCTTCTTTTGTTGGCTTCCGGTTTCTTGGCCGTATGATAGTGTTATTGTTTTAGTTGGAGCGGTGGGTTGTTGCTGTGTTATGGTTGCCAGTTGAATGTCAATCTGCTAGATGAACTGTACTTCCAGAGGATATGATTCTATGTATCTAACTGCAGTTAAATGCTCTCTGAGTTGCGATTGATTCGAATTAGGGTTTTAAACCAAATGTTTTGATTGTATGACAATTTTTGCTAATATGCAGGCTATCTTAGTGGGCAATTGGCGACCAATTTTCCTTACCGGAGAGTTTCACCCTCCTGATTGATTGTCAAGGAAGGACTTCTAGTAGGAGCTTGCTATGGCAGCAGCTACCTATCCGCCACCTCCGCCGTATTACAGACTGTACAAAGATTACTTGCAGGATCCTAAGTCCGCACCGGAGCCACCCCCTCCAGTTGAGGGGACATATTTATGTTATGGGGGCAATTACACTGTAAGATCTCTCTCTTTCGATATAGGCTTAAGTGGTTCAAAAAATTTCTTGTGGAAATGATCAATAGAAGGTTTTGTTTATGCAGTCTTTCTTTTTATTCTCACTTCTTGATGCCTTTGTTGCAGACTGATGATGTGATTCCAAGCTTGGAAGATCAGGGGGTGCGGCAGCTGTACCCTAAGGGACCAAATGTTGGTATGTTATATGCACCGTCCTTGTTCTTTTTTTTTTTTTTGCTTCTTATCTGAGCAATTGCTGTGCATTTGTAGTTTACCTCAAGTCGGGAACTTTTTTTCGTTGTTCTGTTGATGGTTCTTCTGATTATTGTCTACATCTGTTTAGATTTCAAGAAGGAATTGAGATCACTAAATAGAGAATTGCAGCTGCACATTTTAGAGCTTGCTGATGTTCTTGTTGAGAGACCTTCACAGTATGCAAGGAGAGTGGAAGACATATCCCTGATATTTAAGAATTTGCATCACCTTCTCAATTCGTTGCGGCCTCATCAGGTTAGGGTGCATTTGATTTTCCCAGCGTTTGTTTTTGACCCATTTTGTTTGTCTTCTGGTCTACAACCTGAAAATATGGATATGTTTGCTCTTCTTCTTTTTCTTGTTTTCCCTAGGCAAGAGCCACCTTAATTCACATTCTAGAGCTTCAGATTCAACGGCGTAAACAGGCAGTGGAGGATATTAAGAGGTATGTATGTAAAGTGCTACTGTCTCTGAAGGGTCTTAAAGTAACTCAACTCAACTTTTCAACTGTTACTTTAGCTGTTCAGTTTGTCTGCACTCTAGAGTCAACCTGTTAGGAGTGTTAGTTTTGCTGACAATATCTTGATTATCCTGAAATTTGTTCCTCGATTGGACTGTGAAAACTTGCCTGGATTTATTCCAACTGCCATGGTAGATGCAACAAGTTTATATTGCATTCTACTTACCTTTTGCAAGTGTTTTATACTTGGAACTTCCGCATCCACAATCCCTACTGCTTCTATTGAGAGCCGTTCGTGATGTTTGCAAGTGATTGCTGATGATGCTTAGGTCCCGCATTAAGGTCACCAATTTAACTTGAACTTGGATTCCTCACTTGCCACTTCATTATGATCCTATTGACCTCGAAGCTTTTGGTTCAAAGCCTGATGATCCATGTAGCTGCCACATAGTATAGTACAAACAACCTGTTTTTCTCTAAGGCTATCTTGTTGTCATCACATTGCAAAGGCCATATTCTGTATGAGCTTGAACTTGGCCTTAATTGCTTGACTTCACCCGCGCAGGAGGAGAGAAGAGGCACAGAAACTTCTCAAGGAGGCAGTCGGAACATTAGAGGGACAGTAGGCCCACAGAAGCCGACTTCTTGCCCTTCGAAGTGCTTATGTGCGAGTTAACTGTTGTATCAGCTGAGAATTTCCTGCTGCTGCAGTGATTTTCAAGACGCCATGCAAACATACGGACAAGACGAGAAAAGGAAGAAGCCTCTCCAACGACCAAGACCTGAAGTAGCAGCAGTAGCCAGCAATGTCGGGTTATTCTACTAGTATCGTTGTATTTTGTAGCTTAAAAACTGATACTGGTAGATAGTAGTAAGGGGATTTTCTGTTAGGTTCTGTGAATCATCTTTTCATGTTCGAACGGTCAATAGAAAGATCAAAGATGGGTTAGTTTCTGATATATAAAAAATCAATGGCCCCAGCCCAGCTTTAACTGTGACAGACACCAAAACTCGATATGGATTCCGGTCGCTTTGGACCGTTTAGTACCGTTTCATTCCTCTCGTGGTAGCAGTATTGTTGCAACACTAGATGTACAACCATAGCACTGATAATTTTGAGAAGTCATGAAAGTTAACCCTTTTCCGTGCCTAGTTAATATATTAGGTTCTGTTTAGCATTAATATCAATGTTAAGGTTTAGATGAAAGTAGAAAAATAATGGCTGAGACATAATGTGACATGATGAGTTATGAGAAATAATATTAACAATAAGATTTTTCGGATATGAGCCATTGAAAAATGAAGGGTGAGAAATATGTCTGAAGTAAGCCTAGTAAAATTTGGTCATAGAGTCTTTAGAATGCAATTATTATAACTAATATGACATCAAAAGAAACAACTTTTAGATATAACAATAAATTTATTTACCGTTCGTTTGCTTCATAAATTTGAAAAATGAGGGTTTTAGTAAAATTTGGGTTTTGAAAAACCATGGATATATGATGGATTTGGTGGCATTATGGGTTTTATTTGATTAGATTTGTGGATATAGAATACAAATTATCTTATTACCCTTATCTGATTAGTAATTACATTTCTATATTATAATCCAAATATTTCATTAAAAAAAATTCAATACATAGAAAGAAATTTTAATCTTTACCATTATTATGTGGACCAATAATTCAACTCCAAATATAGAAATGTATCACGATTTGGCACCACTTAACAATTCAATGATTCATCTAATGATGTATACAATATTATGTATAAATTGCAACCAGTTTCTCGGCTTATTGCTATAACTCATCATTATCTTGCTAACTCCCCGATTTTGGAATCCGACAGTTAATCAAATAATAATGCACAAGTTGAGCATCAGTTGTTTAGAGTTGAATCCAACAAATCACATATACATTCATATTGAAATAAAAAATAAAATACGACTTTACAAATGAAATGATAAATTCTCATATTTAAATAAAATAGGACATTATAAACATTTATAGTTACAAACCCTTTGAAATAATAGGAAGACAAATTTGTAATTAAAAAAATAAGCAAGAGTAGAAGGGTAAACTACCATTATGGATTTTAAATTTTTAATCAATCACCCAAATCCCACCTCAAGAGATTGAACTTTCAAGTCCGTGCAGATTTCATCTTCCTAATTCCCTAAAGCAAACGATGAATTTTCGTTCAAGTCCATGATGAATTGATTATCATGACGGAATCCATCATAAAAACATAACTAAACATGTTTTCGATCAATATTTTCACATGTGAAAACGGAAAACAGAAGGATTATATTAAACAGGATCTTTGAATGAAGCATCCTTGTGCAAACTCAACTAATAGTAATTAGTATCCACATCGAGCCTGTACTCCTCTTGGGAATGATCACCACGAGCTCTGCAGCCGTGAGAACCCAGTAAAATTATGTTTATAAACCCAGTTTCATGTGTAATTATAGCATATTCTTCTTCAGCAAATGGCTCGCTATGCCCTTCTCACCATCTCTTCTGAATTTTACTGGCCAGAGTAGCGAAAATACCGGATGGTGATATGTTGGCACCACCTGTCTCATCAGTGATTGAGAGAAGTTCGTATAGTTTGAGACTTCGGAGAACATGATTGATCGAGTCTCAACATCATTGCCAGCGAAAACCAACCAATCCTCTTGAAATGCAACGAGCGGAGGATAACCCTCTTTCATTCTGCTTCGAATCTCCAAAAACCGTGTTTGAGATATCATCTTGGATTGAAGTACTATCGTCTAGAAGTTGGTTGATGATTTGAGTGGCTCCATAACTGGTAGTTTGATGTGACTTGTGATGGAAACTCTTACACTCCGCGGTAACTATTGGTGCCTCTGGATTAGGGGTTTGGCAGATATTTTGTGCTAGGGCAAGTGGCAACTTTTGCTTGGGATGAGTATTGAACAACCAAAGAAACAAGGTGATAAAGAAGGGAAGCCGGCAGGCAAAGGGTTAGTTGCTTGGAAATAAATGTCAAAAGCCTGGTCTCCATATGAACCAAGTGTGTACCCTTGTCATTATTTCATAAAGGCAGTGGCTATTAATTCAGAAAAGGCAGAATCCCCTTTCTTGCCCAATTTGACAGCATAATCACTATCTCAAAAAGCCAATGGATACCAAAACGAATTCATTGCTCCCACCAAAAATTGTTGAACTTGCAGTTATTCCCCTCCAACCAACCCCCAAGCAATCAGAGTTTGTTGTTCAAGTTCAACCCATTTTCATAGTTGATCGTTCATAACTCAACTCTAGTGAAGGAACCATTCCCGTGTTAGTTGTAAATGCTAAATGGTCTTTAGGGCATCATAATAGTGAAAGTAACTTGATGAACTAATCAACACATGTTTTACCCCACATCATAGATGGAAATCATTTGATTAGGGCAAGGAAATTAGGACTTGAGAACATAAATTAGGGATTGGAAGCATAATGCCAGAATTGAGAAGGAACCTGGGGAAGAATGGCAAAAAAAGTGAGAGAGAAAAAAGATAGGGTGGTGAATTAGAGATTATAATATTGTTCTTTCATAAATCCAAATAACAATGACTCAATTTTGAAATAGTACTTTTGAAATTCAAACATATAACAAGACTCGAGTCTGGCCCGAATCTCATCCTTCGTAACCCGATTCAGAGCTACTGATTGAGTTCCCGTATTTCTTCTCAAATTAGGGATTGAGAATATAGTATTTTGATATCTAATTGAAATTTAACAATCGCAATGACCGAACAACAAACAATTTAAAATCTTTTTTAAACAATCCACAAAAATTAGAATCGTTTGAAATCTATAGATTAATACTCAAATTCTCGAAAGGACTTATATAGAAAGATAGATAGACAATTTCATCATCCCAAAAGCCCACAAGAGTTTCTCTACCTTCTAAGTATTTTAGGCTATGGCTACAATTTTTCCCCCTCATACTAATACTAGCTTTTCTCAATAGGTCATTTATTTTAGTACTACTCAAGTCCAAACTCGTTTAACTTCGAAATTCTGATGATTTGGTGCACTAGTAAAGGGTATCCGTTACGACTCTAATCTCTCCAATTCAAACTATTAACTTCCAGGGAAGAGAAAGAGGTCATTGTCCACATTAGTTGGCACTTCTTAATTCTTTTTAGCAACCATTCTTTCCCTGCCCAATATGGCATGCCATAGTAACAGCAACATCCCCTTGTGTATTATGCATATTATTAGTATTTCAAGCCAAGTCTTAGGTTTGTAAACAAATCTTCCAAATACAACCAAAGACTTAGTGGTTAATCATTTGATTAACAGATCACTCCTTGAAATTGTGAAGCATGGATTGGCTCCTCCCAAAGTCAAAGTCATATGGTTCCAAGCTCAAGGGTCCAAGAAGATAATGCCAGAAATCAAATACTTTTGTTAGTTATTAGGTTAATATCACAGCTGAGTTTTCAAAGAAACAGTCCTTGGTGCCTGAGTTCACTGCAATTTGCAGGCCAAAACCCCTTACACTACATAAGACAAACCAATGAAAATCCTTGGAAACCCCAATTTTCAATCACAAAAATCTCCCAATCCTTCTGATGTCTTAATCACTAGGTTTTGACTTCAAAAAAACCTTTTTGTTGAACTCTTCTGGAAATTGTTTCTTTATGACATCCCCCTCTTCTTTATGAAAGCCAAGAGAGCTATATATATCCTATCCCAAACCAAACCATAGAAACCACAAACAGAGCTTTTATTACTCTATCTCTTCTCCCCCCACCAGCATTCCTTCTGTCTCTCTCCCCTTCATCAGAAACATCAATGGATTCCATAAACTATGTCCCCAATGGAGGCCTTGCTGCAACTCTAAATGCCAACATCCATGGAAATGGAACTCAAACCTTGGTCCTTTCCTATGGCTATGGATTGGACCAGAATGTTTGGCACCTCCTCCTTCCTTACCTTGTCTGCTGCTTCAAGGTCCTGACTTTTGACTTGGCCTTCTCACCAAATGTCACCCCAGATTTCTACAAACCAGACAAGTACTCAACCCTCCATGGCTACTCACAAGACCTTGTCAACCTTCTCGACGAGCTTCAGCTCAAGAACACTGTCTACCTTGGTCACTCCATGTCAGCCATGATTGGTGCCATTGCAGCAACAGAAAGGCCAGACCTTTTCCAACACCTCATCTTGCTCAGTGGCTCCCCAAGGTAAATAGGAAAAAATAAGGGAGGAGTTGAGAAATCTTGCAGTACAAGGCAACTGATTGTGTATCTTTCTTTTGGCTTTTGGTTTGCAGGTATCTCAATGACAGTGGTTACTATGGAGGGTCTGAGATGCCACAGCTCAACACCCTCTTCCACACCATGGAGAAGAACTACTCGAACTGGGTTCGCAACTTCGCGCCAGCAGCAGTTACCGTGAGTGACAAGGCAGCCGTAGCAGAGTTTGAGCAGAGCTTGGGGAGGATGAACCCTAAGGTAGCTGTAGATGTTGCTAAGGCTGTGTTTCTTGGGGACCTGAGAAGGGTTTTACCTGAAGTTACAGTGCCTTGCTCTGTGATCCAATCTAGAGAAGACTTATTTGTGCCAGAGTTTGTGGGACATTACATGCAGAAGAACCTTGGTGGAGCTGCAAAGGTTCAGTTCCTCAAGGCTCAAGGGCATTTCCCACAGCTCACGGCTCACCGTTTGCTCCTCAAGGCTTTGAAGAAGTTGCATTTGATTAGTGGGATTAAGAAATGTAGTCCTTCTTTGTTGTGAGTCGGTGTCGGTTGTGTGATCGTGAGGTCTTCTGTTCGAATTTCTGTAATTCTCACCGGTAAGCACTTGGTGTATGATGTCTATGCAAACTTTGAATGATTTTCGTTTGAGAGTGCATGTTAGTATGTGGTATAAATTTAATTATTGAACCTCTCACAACAACTCGAGTTATTGACAGTGGCCACATAGTATTTTGATATATTTGTGTTGGTCAATGCCTTGTGTTCCAAGTTATAGCTTTGATCGAACATGAATCATAAATTCCGTAGGAAATTAACAAGTACAAGTGATAACTGATAAGACATTATATATTGGAGGTTAGTTTATATGTAGCCATGGGTAAGACATAGAAAAGGTCATGAGTGTGTGCTTATGTCAAACAGAGTGAAAATGTTAAGAAGTCACAAATTTTAAGCTATGTTTAAGCAGATCATGCAAAATAAATACTCCAAAATCCAAATAGTGACGACCTTACCACAACACAATACTTTTAAGAAATTATTAATTATGGTTTAATAGGTCCATAAAAATCAAAATATTAAAAGATGCTTAATAGGCCCATAACCAGCAGCTCCTTCAACTCAAATCTGAGCACGTGAAATTCACAAGGTTCATGAACATAGGATGCTCCGTCTAAATATAAGAAAGAATAGCTAAGGGAGGAATTTTACAATGCTGGTAAGCGTAGATGTTTATGTTTTTGTGTATAAGATCGAATTTGTATCATAATGAAAATTCAAATTAAATTTGTATTTATAAAGAATTTGTAAGAAAATGTATAGTTACATATTGAATTTGTAGCTTAATATTAAGATATATGTTTAGTTTATATCATAAATAAATTTGTATGAAAAATATATGTAAGAAAAACATTGTACAATAACGCTAAATGTACAAATTCAGTTTGTATCATAAATGATTTTTTTTTTTGTAACCGAGCACCGCTGTTGATGTGCATAATAGCGGAGCTCATGCAAGCTAGGGGTGAACTAAAATAACCGTAACGTGACCCACCCGTCCACCCCGACCCAAACCACCCGTATTTATCGCGAAAATTAAGGTTTAAAGTTGGGTAAAGGTTTTCTTTTGTGGAACGCGCCTTTCTTAGATTGACTGCGGGTTTCCTGTTATGCAAGCAGTAGATACCCGTCCCTACCCATGTTGCAACTATTGTCCTGAGTGTTCGTATAAAAAAATGTATTTATGTTGTATACAAGCATATTTGCAAGGGTACTTTGCCATATTTATCAATTTAATGTAGGCATACAATTTTAGAAGAATAATAAATTATGGATGCATTAGCTTATAATGAATAACATCTTTAGCTTATTTCAATAGATGTTTATGAAAAATATTAGATATATGTTGAAGCAAATTACACTTCATCAATATCCAAACAACAACTTCTGGGCATTTTGATGTTTTCAGATTTGATTTATTTGCTTGAATTTTAATTAGTTATATAATTCTTTTAGTGTTGGGTTGGATTTTTACTTAAAATTATAGCATCCTCGATCTGAGCGGATTATAAACAAACTGTCTAATTTTTTGAATCATTTTTTAATTTAATATTTTACTATTTTAAAACTAAAAGTATATGAATCAAGTGATTAAATAAAATGACTAAACACGAACCACCTCCTATTACACGCTGCTCTCAGCCTCACACCAACTTAGATAGGAAAGAGTGCTTCCTTGTACAATCAAATCCATAATAAAAGAATCCATGGCACTGGGAGAATTGAACTTTTTATTATGAGTTCTTCCCAATAGGAAGGAAACAAAGAAAAACAAACTGTGCCGTGTTGACGTCACGTGAAAACACCATACAAGTTGACAATTTGGGGGATGAAGACGAAAAACAACTTTTCCACTCTATATTCTATTCTATCTTCAGTGGAATCAGAATCTTGGCTCACGCACCACTGAATCTCTTTCCATCAACAAATCGTCTCAAAGTCAATCTCTGAATTCGAATGGTGGGAACAAAATCATAATTATTATTGTTATAATACCATCCAGCTCTTCTTTGTATAATTAGCTGATTGTTAACTGCCAACATTAAAAGAAATTAATCCTTACAATTACAACAAATTCTTTCGATCAAGATTGTGTAACCTTGATTTATTATTTTTTTTTATGAATCCTTGATTCATTATTAATATGACAGAACAATGGTTTGGACCCTTCGGTGAGAAGTTTTAGCATGAGCTTGACAGAAAATGTATACATTTTTTTTTTTTTGCATTGAGCGGAGGCCGGAGCCGAGAAAAAGAGCAGGTTACAGGGGATTACAAGGAAGTGGTGGGATGAACAACAACCCGACGCTCGAAGGTCGCACCTAACATATCATCTCGGAGGATCGGAGCCAGCCCATTGGGTGGAGTAGCAAGCTCATGCATACCGTAGGGATAGACGAGACTGTGCTTCGAGAGCCAGTCCGCGGCTCTATTCCCTTCCCGGTATGTATGAGTTATGCGCACCACCCAGTCGCCGCCAATCTTTCTTCTTATAGCTGTTAATAAAGTCGCATAAGGGTGGATAGGGTCCTGCCGAGCACTAATCAACTGTATCGCCAACTGAGAGTCCGAGGCTACCTGAAGGAATCTGCAGCCAGCCTTCCGCGCAATATCAAGCCCGTAGTGAATGGCCCAAAGCTCGGACAGGACAGCCGTCGCTGTCCCGAGATTCGCAACGAAGCCCGCCATCCAATTGCCACTAGGATCTCTGAGCACACCACCAGCTCCGGCCGGGCCAGGGTTTCCCGTCGAAGCCCCATCCACATGCAGAGACAACCAGCCTTCGGGAGGGGGGGTCCACCCGACGTGTGCCATAACTCGATCAGCAGGGGGATTCCTATTGCTGGGGAGACGAGATGGGGCACTCCAGGCGTCATGCCAGAGCTTAGTCTTTGCCATGATAGCATGTTCAAGAGAGTGTGGAGAGAGAGCTGCCCCCATACCTCTAAAACAAGCTGTGGAACGATTTTTCCAGATGAGCCAACTTGAAGTGCAGAAGAAGGCCGACCATTGCATCCCGGAAGCCAAGCTGTCATTACTCATGATGTTATCCCGAAACCACTCCTTTAGATTTGAGCTGAAGAACGAGTGTTGGCGGGCGGGCGGCACTTGTCGGGACCAAAAGAACATTGCCGGTGGGCAATCTCGCAGAGTATGGAGGACCGTCTCCGGCTGCCCAGAGCATCTGTAGCATGAGGGGTCCTCGGCCACCTTCCTAGTGTGTCTCAGCGCATTAGTTGCAATCCTCCCCAACACAGCCAACCAAGTAAAACTTCTCACCCTTTCAGCAACCGGCAGCTTCCAAATCGCCTTCCAAAGAGGCTCGTCCACGTCTTGCGGGTGATTGCTGACGAGATTGTAGGCTGATTTGGCAGAGAAGTTGCCATCCGAGGATGCCGACCAGAACAGGGTGTCATCATCTGTGGAGAGTTTGTCCACCGCCACGCTAAGGATCTTTTGGAAGACTGCTGGAGGAAGGAGCGTTTCGAACAAGTCAACCCGCCAGCTCCCGTCGTCCTGGACATAGTCTGCCACAACCGCCTCCTCACTTGCAGCTGGCAACTGAGCTGTAGCCACCTCCTTGAGAGGAACCTGCAAAATCCAAGGGTCAAGCCAAAATTTAGTGTGCTTACCATTCTTGATATTCCAAGCACATCCTTTCTTCAGAAGGCTGGCAGCTTTCGAAAAGCTTGCCCAGGTAAAGGAACTTCCCTGAGAAGGTTGAAGAATGTCTAGATGTTTTCGCTGACGACCGTACTTGGAATACATGATCTGGGTCCATAAGGTATCTTTCTCTTTGAGTAATCTCCACCCGCTCTTAGCCAACATGGCCAGGTTAGCCTGTCTGGTGGGTCTGATGCCAACTCCACCCATGGTCTTGGGTAGCGTCATCTTCTCCCAGGCCACCAGGTGCATCTTGCTCCTATTCTCCTCATCTCCCCAAATGAAGTCCCTGTTAATTTTATCAATGCTATTGCAAACTCCACTCGGAATTAGTTCAGTATTCATGTGATAGACAGGTAAAGAAGCTGAAACCGATTTAGCAATAGTAAGCCTAGCCGCAAGGGATAGGCGTCTAGCTTTCCAGGGAGCTAGCTTCTTTTGAATTCGAAAGAGAAGTGTCTGATATCTCTCTTTAGTGATGCGCCCATGGATCGTCTGAATCCCAAGATACTTCCCAAGGTCAGCCGTCAAAGGAATGCCTGCTCGACGGCTCAATCTTTCTGCCTTCTGGCGAGCAATGTTGGGTGAGACGAAGAGCATGGACTTATTGAAGTTGACACGTTGGCCGGAGCTGAAGCAGAAATCTTCCAGGCAACGCTTGATTACCCCAATATGTCGAGTCTCAGCTTCTGCGAAGAGCAACAAATCATCTGCAAAGAAAAGATGAGTGAGTGGCGGACCATTCGGAGACAGTCTAAGAGGTTTCCATTCTCCACCATCTACAGCAACATCAATCAAATGAGAAAGACGTTCCATGCAAAGCACAAAGAGGTAATGGGATAGAGGATCTCCCTGACGGACTCCCCTGGTCGGGGTGATGGGTTGAGATAGCTCTCCGTTCCAGAGGATTCTCATCCGGTTCTGCTCCACGCAGCGCATTATACAACTGATCCAGGTGCTAGGGAGGCCAACTTCCTTCAGAGTATCCCGTAAGAAGTCCCAGCGAAGTCTATCATACGCTTTCTCCAGGTCTATCTTCACAATGAGGCCACCCTTCTTTCCTTTCTTCCGCCTGAGAGAATGAAGGACTTCTTGGACCACGATGATGTTGTCAGTGGTCTGCCTGCCTGGAATGAAGCTACTCTGTCTGGGGGACACGAGCTTCCTCATGAGGGGCTTCAGTCTACTCGTCATAGCTTTAGTGATAGCCTTAAGGCTCACATTATTAAGAGAGATGGGCCTCAACTGTGTCACTCGCTCAGGACTCTCCACCTTCGGGATAAGCACCAGAGTAGAATCAGAAACCTTCTCTGGCAAATTCCCGGTGGAAAAGAAATCAACCGCCATCTCCGACAGGCTTTTCCCTACTACTATCCACATTTGCTGA